GCCTCAGGGGCACTGCCACTCCAGCCCCAGTCCTGCTGAGCCAATTCCAGGCTCTGACATGCTTGGACCCTGGAGTCCCCAGCCCTTGTTTCCACATCTTCCACCTCCCAGAGCCCTTCACAGTTCACAAGGTGCACTTGGGGGTCCTTCCTCACCGTAGCCCTGTAAGCCCATTTTATAGGTGAGGAAATGGGCTCAGAGAGAGCCTCAAACTGCCCAGGTCCAGTAATGGGCAGCAACAGGCCCAGCTCCTGATGCCCCCTGAAGCCTGGCCCTCCTTTTTCTCAGCGCTGCCGTCAACGCCGTGGCCTGGTGCTACTCCGGCAGCCACATGGTGAGCGTGGACCAGGCCAGGAAGGTCGTGCTCTGGCACTAGTGTCGTGACTTCGCCTGCCTGAGCTGGAGCTCTAGTCAGAAGCCTGAAGCCAGAGAACAGCTTCCCACTGCTCCACAGGGCTCCAGGGCCAGTGGGCCCAGTGAGGTGTGGGTGGGGTGGCTCAGGGCATTTAGTAAGGAAGAAGGCCTGGCAGGACCTGGCCTGTTAGTTTAAAAACAAAGTGTGGGTTGGGGGAATTACAGCACTTTTTGTTTATCTCTGTCTCCTCACTTTCTCTGCCAAAAGTGGAAAAAACTGCATCTAAACTGGTGTCCCCTTGCCTCTTTGCAGCATTCAGGGAACAGAGAGGCCTTCCTTTGGGCTGGTAGCTCGAGGAAATCCAGGCTTGGCCCCCTTTCGTCCTCCCACACAGAACTGGGCAGGGCCGGCCCGGCCTCCGTGCTATTCAAGTCTAACAGGAGACAGCAAGAAGGGCCAGAGGCAGCAAAGGGCAGTGGTTCTTGGAGCCATGGGAATTCATGGTCCTAAGATCAAGCCAGCACTGTGGGCCATCCTTCAAGCACCCAGGGTAGACTGAGGCTGAGGAGGGGCTGTGGGAGTCCGAGGAGGGAGTAGGGGAGGTAGCCCAAAAAGGCTCTGGTGGAAAGGGTCCTAACAAATTGGAGAGTGATGTCAAGGACTTGTTCCACTGCGCCAGCCTTTAGACCAGCCAAGTTCTTGCTCCAGAGGCAGAGCCTGGAGTGGGTGAGGAACAGCTTCCATGTCTGTGAGTCTGGGAGGGCAGCAGTAGGCTGAGCTTGGGCCTGGGAATTCGCTTACATGGGCATCAGATTTAATCTTCACAACAAGCCTCTGAAGTGCAAGGCAGACCCAGCAGGGTGGAGCCTGGGCACCCCACTTCATCAACGTGGGGCATGGCAGAGGAGTTCAGTAGGACGGCCATTGTCTGGGGTGATAGGGGCTGACCCGTGGGGATCTGCTCAGCCGAGTCAAAGGCTCCACTCTGAACTCAGCCTCCTCCTTTATCATCTTACAAAGGCTCCCTTGGGGATCTTTGCCAGTCCCAGGGCTTTGGAAGCCATGTCCAAAATGGGCAGCAGAGAGCTAAAGGCCTGGCTCTGCAGCTAGACTGTCTGGGTGTGAATCTCAGCTCTTCTGTTTAGTAGCGGAATGATTGTGAGCAAGTTACTTAATGTCTTTGTGCCTCCTTTCCTTCTCTAGAACGGGATGATAGCACACACCTCAAGTACTGTTTTAAGGCCCCAATGTGCTAGTATTTGTAAAGCTCCTGGCATGTGTCAAAGGCTGTGTGTCGGTTAAATACCCAAATCTGCTGATTTCCAGATCACTCACTGCTCTTGGCCCCCAACTGCCCCCTGAGCTCTAGGTGACATACCCAGCTGCCTTCTGGGCCTCATCTTCCAGATGTAAGTTCCTCTTCTCCTCACACTGCACATCCGCACACCAAGGCCCGGGGCCACTGTGTCTCTCCTTTCTTGCTGCCACTGCAGGCCACCTTCTATACCTGCTGCCACCCCACCCAGCCCCCTCGCCATTGTGACTTTCTAAGGTGTCACTGTCACATGTTCAACCATTTGGAGTTCCCCTGCTGCCTGCAGAGAAGCACATGAATTTCAAAGCCCTTGGATCTACCCTGCTGGCCTCAGCTGCATCTTCATTTCCCTACTACTATGAATGTGTCCTATGTGTGATTTCTCTCTACTTAGAATGCTTTTCCCTCCCAGCCCCCAATTCACATTTGTCCTTCAGAATCCCCACTTGCCAGGCTGGCAGGGGGCTCCTCCAGCCTGCACTCCGGTCTGTGCCTGCCTCCCTCCACCTTTAGCAGGGAACTCTTGGAGGAGACCAGGATGGGAAGTATTCCCTGGAATCAGGCCAGACACAGAGAAAGCCTCAGGAAATGTTTAAGTGGCTAAATTCTCTACTCAAGGACTCTGCAAGTCTAACAGTTGAAGACACTGAGTCCAATCTAAAATTCACAAAAGCCTAGCCCTCATGCCCTGGCTCCTGATGGCCACCAGGAGTCACCAGCTGCCTAGTATCTGCTGAGGCCCTTCTGTCTCCTGGGATTCATGGCTGGAAAGACCAGCACTTCCAGGAGCCACCATTACCCAGTCTCATGTCTCAGGCCCTGTGCTCTGCACTTTTCCTGCAGTATCTGATTTGTTCCTCCCAACCACCTTGTGATGTAGGTATTTCTTTCATAGGTAAGAAAGTTGAGGCTCAGAGAACTTAAGTAATGTGAGGTCTCACAGTTGGCACAGCTGGATTGTGACTATTATACTTAAAAAAATATATCAGAGAATCTGGGTTCCAGTTAAGAAGCCAGGCCTCTGATTCCCTCTTTTCTGGAAACGATTCAGGTTCTGCAGAGGGGCTGGCCTGGTCTCCTGGAGGTGGTTCTAGGTTCTGCTCCTAGTTGTCTTCCTGGGAGCCCTTGGGCAAGTCAGTGTCTTCCAGGGCACGGAATTTCTCATCTCTGCCTTCCTACCCCATGGCTCTGGGCCTCACCAAAGGTTACCCAGCTCCTCCCTGGTACTCTTCTGCTGGTGTGAATACCGCCTCCTCTGCCTGAACTGCCCAATCCCAGACCTTATGATCCTGAGACCTAATAGGCAGAAACCATAGTTTTGGGCTCCTACAGCCCTTTGGTCACCTTCCTGTCCTGGAAGACAACTGGCTCAAGTCTGCTGTTCCTGAGTCTCCCCCACTAGATGAGCTCCTGGGTGACAGGCATGAGATCTGAGTCATTTGTGTCACTAGTGCTCAGAACATGGCCTGGAGCAGTAAGTTTGCTGACAGAACAAATAGCAGTAGCAGAGCGGTAGTCCTGGCCTCTGAGATGTTCTCTGGAGGAATCCTGACGGCACCGGGCACCAACCCACCCGAGACTCGGACAGACCACATCAGTACAGGCTTTTTCTTTTTCTGGGCGCACATCCACCAGTCAAAATTATTTTCAGCTTATCTGTACATCATCTTATTTGATCCTCCTGGATCTTAGGAAGTCTGCATTACCTTTTTATTCTCACTTCACAGGTGAGGAAAGCAAGTCTCAGAAAGGTGAAGGGCTGAGCCTAAGTTCACAGCTCATTGGGGCGGCCCAGAGCCTTGAAACCAGGATGCCTGGCCGCTCTTCCCTGCCTCTCAGGAGTGAGAGGGTGATGAGAATGAAAGGATGCTTAGGTGTTCAGCACACAGTGTGGAAGGGATGTGGGTTCCCTTCTGTTCTGTTTCAGGATCACATTCCAGGAAAATATTCCCGAAACAGACACAGCAGGAATACACTGTTCTTTGGCCAGTGGGACCAGGAAACTGGTCCAGGAACAAGATGCTCTTTGTCATTCACAGGATTCTTGGCAGATCAAGCAGTAACACAGCAAACACGGGGAGAGGCTAGGAAGAAACATACTGATTGTGTCAAGTTGTAGGATTCAGGGACAAATGATTAATTCTCCCCTGAACTAACATTTTTGTAACTTGGTTGTATTTTTGTCATAAAGAACAACTTCATAATGAGCAAAATAAAAGCAAAGAGAGCAGCCAAATTGTCATAAGGCCACTCAGAGAAGGTTAGGCAGTTACTGGCCCCACACCCAAAGCTGCAGCTGGGTTCCTTGGGCAGCGAGCGAACAGTGGAGCCTGGGATGTGATCACAACCTGGAAGGTGAGGATTTGCTTTGGTCCAAGGGGACAGTCCAGTGGCTTGGATTTCCTTTCCAATTTCTGGCCATCCCGAGAAATCTGTGCGTGTTAGTCTGTTCTCAAATACTGCAACCTTTCTGTGTGATGTTCTCACTCTGCGTCTAGAAAGTGAATTATCTGGCACACATGAGTTGCGTAAGTCCTTGGAAGTCATCTGATTTTACTTCTTTTAAAGCTGGGGATGTGGCAGCTCATAGGGAAAGGTCATCATCCATTGAATGGTGGCAGATTTAAGGCCAGATAACATCTTCTCTCTCGCTTCTCTGGCTTGTGGATGTGGGCTGAGGTGGAAGGTCAGAGAGGAAAGGGATCTAGGTGATAGGCTGTTAATGGGACTTGACCGCATTACAGTTAGTTCCCATGATGAAGGAAGCCAAAATGTAGCTATGACACTGGGGTGGGGCCATTAGCTTAACTCTGTTCCTGGGTTACAGACTGAACCTTTGATGCCAATACAGTCTCAAATGTGAGCAGCTTTCATTAGCAGCAGAAGGCAGAAGATGGAAATGATATTTCATGTGCACTGACAATCCTCATATTTATGGTAAAGCACTTCACACATGCTCCTTCCCTTGGACCTCATGGCAACCCTGTGTTACTATAAGGTTGGAGGAGTAGCAAGGGCCCTGGTTCTGAAGGAGAGGACTCCGAATGTGGAAGAGGTTAACGAGGAATGTTTGTGGTGACCACCCTGTGCTGCTCACTTTGTGTGTCCTTCTTGGATCCACAGTATTACTCTCAGGTGTCCAATGAGCATGCTGAGGTTCAGTTCCCACAGCTGCCAAGTGGGAGCCAGGATTTCACTCAGACCTTCTGACTCCAAAGTCCATGTTGTCACCGTGGGAGTGTCAATGGATGCAATCATTTTGGAGGCCAATTTGGCAAAATCTAAAAAAATTAAAAATTAAACACACACAATACCGTTTTGACTCTCAAATTACATATTTAGAAATCTGCCCAATTATTTTTACTGGAACAAACTGATGAAGAATTATACACAAAGATGTTAATTTCAACTTTCTAATAGCAAATGGATGGATACAGCCTTAACACTCATCACTATACGAATGTTTAAATTATGCTCAGACAATGGAATATAATGTAGCCTTCAAAAAGAATAAGGTAAACCGAAATGTATTATACAATCCCATTTATATAAAGAGGCAATGTATATACATATGAGTTTTATGCCCAGAAAATATCCAGAATACATATCACATGTGTCCAGTTCTGGAAAGGAGAGCTGTGGGGCCTCTCCCCAAACATGCCGAGTCCTGGTCCTCAGTGTGGCTGGCTGGGAGCCAGAGGGATTCAGCCTTTAACCAGGAATCCATCCACGCCTGGGACCAGTATACGCTCTGCTTGACTCATTACTCCTTAGGGTGGAGGTTGAGGAAAGGGCTGCGGAGTCCAGAATTCCCACTTCCTAGAAGCCAGTGGTTACATCCTCCGAGGGGACTTCAGTGACCTTCCTCTTGTCCCTCCAGCTGCAGAATCAGAGCTCCATGCTCAGCTCCCTCAGCACACTGTCCTCCCCTCCCAGCACATGTCACACGGTACTATCATGTATGTACCTGTCCCCCCACCCTGAAAAGAATCTTGAAAGCAAAGGCCACAGCTTATTTATTACTATCTCTAGGGTCCAGAATGTTATACCTGGCAGGTGGGTGGCATCAGGGACTGTTTGTCCCATGTATTAATTTACTTCCCCCTCTCTGTATCTGTTGTATGGTTAAAGGAGAGCCTAAGAGTATCTCTTTATAAGAAACACTGTCTATTTGGAAAAGTCTGTGTACCCAAATCTTTTTATAAGTAAACTTAGAAAACTTAATTCCATTTTTTTATTATTCAACATTTTATACATAATAAATACAAACTTTTTACAGCCACTTTACGTAAAGAAAGCACATTTGCACAGAGGTGCTCCCTCTGAGCCCGGCCCTGTGCGCTGGGATGCTGGGTTACATGTCCTGGAAGGAGGGGTTCTTCTTAAAAAGGAGGCTTATTTTTATAAGTTCGTTTTTTAAAAATAAAATTAGCAGCTCTTCCAAAAAATATTTAAAATATAACAAAATTTCAAATAACCCTCTGAGAATGTGGAAAACCCAGATTCAAGGACAATTTGGCTAAATAAAGAGAGAATACAAGACTGGGTGGCAAGAACTGCCTTATTTAAGCACTTTGAAGATTTTTAAAGTGCTTTGAAGATGTTTAACGTGTAGGCAAACTTTAAAATCTTTTTTAAAAAACCACCCTTTTAATTTATTTTTTAAACTTAAGAATAAGTTTGATAACACAAAAAGACCTCAAATAGATCAACTAGTTAAGAAATGCAGAAACAACAACGAAAACAAAAAAAGAAACAAAAAAACCCCAAATCACGGAGAAGATTCATCAATGGGTATTGTCGCTGAAATGATCAAATGACTAATTGAAAATTTCTTCAGCTATGACCTTAAAAAAATCCCATGGGGACATTTGGCGAGCATTTCAAGTTTCTAGAGTCTTAGGAGTTTTCAAAGCATAATAAATCTTTTAGATTAAATCCTGCAAATTTGACTTCTTAAAAAAAAAAAAAAAAAGCAACTGGCAAATATCCCTTAGTCCCTAGGTAACACACTCCCTGTCTTCCATAGGAAGTAGAGAGCCAGCAGAGGCCTGCTCTGGGACACCTGCTCCGTGGGCTGGCCGGCCCGTGGAGGACGTTACCCTGGCTCTCCCTACGATGCAGAGAACTTGTCTTTTCTCATCAATTTGCACTTGTGCGGGATGTGCAATCCTTTAGTCCTTTTTTCATAGGAAGCTGGTTTCCTCCACGAGCCACAGGTTCTTCCTCCCAAGGAAATGTCAGGTCAGTGGGACCTGGGAAGCTGCATTTTCTGTCGGGGGTGACCGCTGGGCTGGACCAGTCACAACCTGGCTGGCGGGGCCAGTACACTGGCTTGGGAGTAAAACGATGCTGGGGCTCTCCAGTAGAGCAGCTCAACAAGGCAAGTATGTGTCCCCGATTTATCTAGACATTCAGAGCCTAAGGATACTGGTCAGAAGAGTATGTGCTGCAAAAATTAAGATGAAAAATACCCAGATACAAAAAGAACATTAAATCGGCTCATTTCAGATCTGGAAGCTCCATTTCTGCCTTAGCCGCAGCCTCCTTTCTACTATTCTATGTGATGGACAAGATTTGGCTGCTAGTTCAGCCCCTCCATATTAGCTCCACTAATACTAAATGAATGGCATAAATATTAATACAAAAGACACTGTTATTGTTTTAAATCTGTTAGTTGTGGAAGAGATGTGCATTAATGCAATTGGCGCTAGACTCAGGTCAGTCCACTTGTTTCCAATAATGTTCCACTTTCTCATTCTGGGGACTAACTGCAGGGAGGAGCCAGCCTCCCCCAAAACCCCTCCTTCTGCTTCCTCATGTAGCCAACATGATCTGATTAAACTTAATCAGATAAGCAAAAGCCACTTGAAGATGAGAATCTCTGCCACATCCTGTGGCCACAGTAATATACTGTACGAGTGCACATGATCAGTTTCTCTGTGACTGTGCCCTGAACGAGGCCTGGTCTTGAGTCTCATATAAAAATGGACCACTGTTAGGCACAAGGGCTGTCCCTCTGTTTCGAGGGCCCGCTAGAATTTGTGCTATGGTAGGAGAGATGACATAGAAAATGGCAACAAAAAAAGGCACAAAATATTCAACATGTGGGAGGAGTCCACCAGGCCAACCAGTCACATATAATCCTCCTGGTTTTCGCTCTGTTCAAGAGTCATCATCATGCAAAGGTGCCTAAAAAACAAGACTGGCCAAACTCCAAGCCTGACCTTGATTGTAGCAGTAACAGATGGGCAAACCCATCATCACACCAGTGTGATTTCCACATCCTCGATCTTCTCTGCTGGCCTTCGGTGGTTCTGTGTAGGCGGAGGGGGAGCTGCCCGGACCTGAGCAGGAAACAATTACACAAATTGTCAGTCAGCTTCTGGATTCAGTACCTGAATGAAGCATCCAAACCTCAACCAGTCATTTATCCAAGGACATGGGCCCCCAGGGGCCTCAGAAATGTTCTGAGCATGTGCTTTCAACCTAATTTTCACTCTTTCCCACATCGAGGAGGAGTTATTCTGGATTACATGGGAAATCCACAGAATCAGGTTCTTGCCTAGGCTGAAAGCCTCATGGGCACAAGAGTGACTGAGGCCCTAAAAGCTGCATCCATAGCACAGGCCTGGAGTTGGAAGTAAGAGAGAGCAACGCTTGGAGAACTGAAAACCTTGGAGTATGTCTTGGAAGGAGAGTTGCAAGAGAGAACACTAAAGAAGTAGAGTGGGGTTAAGCCATGAAATCTGAGCTTTGTTCTGTAGGCAGAGAGGAGTCCTTGGTTAATTTTAAACAGCATTATCAGATGTGTAAAAAGATGTTAGGTAACAGTTTGGAGAAAAGAGCGGAGGTGGGCAAAGGTATAGATAAGATGACAATTTAGTAGATGTCTGTAGTCATCTGAATGAGAGCTGCTGTTAGCCTGAACTGGCACTGGCAGTGAGGAGTAGAGAAGTGGAAAGATTGACAGCTATCTCCAAGGTAAACATGGCAGGACTTGGTGATGACTATTTGTGGGAAGACCAGAGCATTGGTAGAGAGGACAATTAACTCATTTTTGCTGAGTTCTGGGGGTTTGGTACATACACACTGAGATGCCCACAAGTCTGAAGCTCAGGGAAGAGATCGGAGTGGCAGTTATAAATCTGGGAGTTGTCAGTAAATAAACAGTTGTTAAAGCCGTGGCAGTAGATGAGATTACACAAGGAGCATCAGTTTAATGATTTCAGGAGAAGTAGTCCATGGACAGAACCCAAAGAAACATCAGCAGGAAGGGCAGAGAGGCAGAAAGTGAGCCAGGAAAGAAAGGGTTGTGCAACACACTGGCCCACTTTTCTCCGCTGCTGCTTCCCACCAGTCCATATGCTATTGGCTCGTTCTGCTTAGACCACTTCTCCAGCTTCCTAATGGCTCCCCATGTCCATTAAGTCACCTTCCATTCATTCCCCACTTAGCTGGCATAGTAATGTTTGTTTTAAAAATGCAGCCATATCACTGTCCTGCTTACAACCTTACAATTGGCTTCCTATCACATTTAGGATAAAGAACCAAGTCCTTTACAAGCCACTCAACAAAGCCAAAGGAAATGAGTGGTCCAAGGAATACTGTCAAATGCTGATAAAGGGGTCCAGGAAAATAAAACTGCAAAGTAGGCACTGGGTTAGCAGGTGAAAGTCATGGCCTGGGAAGAGCTGCTTCACAGTGAGGTGGGGGTGGTGGCAGGCAGGGGGTGAGAAGTAAGCAGAGGTGATTATTTAAGAGTAGATTCTCTTTGAGAACAGAAGCTCTCAAACCTCAAAGGGCATGAAGTATGTTTTATTTCATCTCAGTGTCCCTCACAGGTGCAACTATAAGCCTGGAGAATAGGTTCTCAGTAAATGCTTGCTGAAAAAAAAAGTGCTTCTGTTTCACAAATTAGACCACTTTAATGCTCACAGAGCTTGTTACAATTTAAATACTTTCACAGCTATCATCCTGAATGTCATCGTGACTCAGAGGAAAGTGCCAGTGTAGACCGGATCTCCCAGGCTGTGTGGATTTTTATCCTCTTGCTTTTCAAGAGCTCTTTTACCTTCCCAAACCCATCCCACCTCGCATGGGGGAATTAGTAACAACACGGGGAGACGTTAACTTCTAATGTTCAGTTTGGAAGAACTGTGCATTCCACAGTCCTGCCCGCTAAGAGACTTACAGGTCGCAGCTTGCCATATGCAGCCTCGGGAGTATGCCTCGGTGCCTGTGAGAACCCTGGCGATTCCGCCTGGACGCTGTTTTCTAAGGGAGGGAACCAAAGCAGCTCATTTTATTTGTGTAGCTGAGCAATGAAAATGCTAACGCGAGTCTGTTTGCTTTGCAGGTGAACAAGTGGATTTCTGAATGAAAAGCCACTTTGACCAGCGTCAGGAGGACCCTTACCGGTTGCTGAGGGAGAGCGGGGGAAGTACTGGGAGCTCCTCTTGTCCGGGCTGGGGTAGGGGCTGCTGGGAGGCTGGTCGTACAGCGGCAACGGAGGCAGGGAGCCGGGCGGCTTGGGCGACGGAGAGATCTGCCGAAGGGAAGGGATTACAAAGTAATCACCTCGGGAAGGCCGGGCTAACTGGCTTTCCTGACTACTTCAGACTAGTTACTTTTCTCTGGAGCTGAGTTATGACCGTTGACATTTTTTTACCAGACCCATTAGAAGCACATGAGCCTGAACTAACCACCCCAAAGCTCAATTTTGTGTTGCATTTAACTTTTTCCTCTTACAAATCTCATTATACTACTGATTATAGTTCATCTTAAACAGTTATCAAGTCAAACCATTCTCTAAAGTTCTATTGAAAACATGCCAAATTAGTCAATTCGGTAAATTCAGTGAAGAACAAAAAAGGGAACAAGTTGTATTTTGTGTGTGTGTGTGTGTGTGTGTGTGTGTGAAAAATAAAATAACTGGCTGAGTTTCTGACTTCCCCAGGTTTTATAAATGTCAGGCTAAGTGGTGACAATACCACACAAACAAAACATGTTCCTTATGGTCCTGGACCTGCTGGGCTTGTTGTGACAGATCTGAATTAGGGGTCTCCTGTAAAGGCAAGTTCTGCTATAATTAGCTAAGCTTAGGGCCACGAGTGTACCGGGGCTCTGGCAGGCTCATCAATTCTCTGAAATGGACGCCACAACCTGGGCTGGGCAGGAGGCTCTACAGTGAGGGAGACAAAGAGCAAGCTAATATTTTTACTACATAAACTAACCAGAGACAATACATTCCCTCTCTGGTCTGTTTCTGTTTCTCTTCCAAACCATTCTTTTGTATGTCACATACAATTCAGTTTTTGGTTTACAGATTCAGAGAACAGAATATGAGAGAGGAGAGGTGTAACACAGCCATTACACAGAGCCTGACCGAGGAGTCCCTGCTTTCCCAAACTCGGTTTTGCAGAAACCTGGCAACAGGGCTGGAGTGGTGAGGGTGAGGCTGAGACCAAAGCCCACTTCTGCATGGGTCCACAGACCCCTTGGGAGTCATTTCCTTTAAATATTTTAACTCAGCTTTCTCACATACCTGAATGTCTCTCATCCCTGGAGTGTCACCATTTTCTGAGGCTGCAAGTTCTTCCACCAGCACGGATGGGAAAACTCCAATCCGCCCGCTGAATTCCCCTTCCCAAAAGCCATCATCATCCTGGTTCTCTTTGTTCAAGATTCGGATGATTGCTCCCTCCGGGAAAGATAATTCATCATCTGTCTGACCTTCGTAGTCATAAAGTGCTTTCACGAAACAGACTAGGGTAGCAAGGAGAGAAAAATGCAGTGAGAACAATGACAGCCAGGTAACTTGTGACCCCCGCTATGCTCGCTCATGCGACAACCGAGAGCATTGTACAGAGTAAGAGTAAAGCTGTAATTTTTTACCCACTGAAGATCAACTTTAGGGTTCTACTGTAAAGGATAAAAGTGACTAAATAAAGGAAAAATATTATAGAATAGGAATGGAGTTGCGAAATCTACTGAAGGCTGACTCCAGGGAAATACAGTTTAGGCGAAATGAGATCAGATAAAGAGTGCCTTGTTTCAGTCTTTACCACTGGCATCTCCGTTGAGGCTGCCTGAAACGAGCTCGGCCTCCGTGGAATTGCTGGATGTGTGTGACCGACTGTCCAAGGCAGCCAGGGACTGCAGCATGCTCAGCAGACTGTTCGAGGTGGGAAACTGGAGGTACTTTTCTGGTACATACCCCACTTGACCAACTTTATTTCGAGCCTGAGTAAAAGACATGTGACAAAACAGGTTTGCACACACAGTCTGGACAGGGCATAACAAGAATCGAAACACACTCCTGAAAATGGCACAAGAAAGGGCGATATGAGCAAAGGAATATACCTTTACCCAGTCTTCCATATCTCCATCTTCAATCACTTCTAACACCTCATGCTCCTCAATGGTCAACTCATCTGGTTGAGAAGCCTGCAATGTAGGATGGTCATGGACAAAATTAAAAAAGTTAGATAAAGAGCAGATGTGAGCTGATCATAACAAAAACTGTGGATCAAAATATTGAAATGATTTTGAAAACGTATTGAACATAAAAATTTAAGTGTTGTAAAACTATCATAATGAGATGGAAGTTTTATTTAAAAAAAAATGAAACAAAATAAAGCCACAACCAAAACTGGAGAAACGGAGTCCTGAAGAGGCAATGAGGCTCAGTGAACACTGCAGTCTGCGGAAGGGGAGCAGGGCTCCGGCTCCAGCACCTGCATCTACTGACGAGTTATTCAACTTCTTGATGCCTCCATTTCTTCAAAAATGACAATCCTGCCCTTCTCAGGAGGATTGGGGAGTCAATGTGGGATGAATAAACACAGAGCCATGATGATTTGGGAAGCACAGGCAAAGGAGAAAGCACTGAATTAGAACCAGAGGGCCACTGTGGAGGTGCATGCTGTGAAATGCAAGGAGCTATGTACATGGATTGGATGATAGCCTGAGCGGTGCCTAGAATTCATCTGGAATCACTGGCAAACTGTAGCCAAGAGAAGAAAGTTGTAGGAAAGGAAATGGTTGAGATTTGTCAAAATTTGGATTTATTATGCTCCAACTTAACTGTGGAGACTGGGCTGATCCACTCAGGTGCTTCTGCACGAGCTGCTAACTGTGCCGGCTTTATTCTCCCTGACAGCAGGAGTTCACGAGCACCAGCCACCCAGATACTGCCCTTGAGGCCGTAGAACCTGAGGGCAAACCCTCAGGGGCTCTGCAGAGGGGTTGGAGAGAGACTTGTCTGTCACCCGTACGTAGGGAGGGGGCTGCTGGCATCTTCTGTCTCTCTAGGGAACAATCTTAAAAGCTTCCCTCAAGTCCCAGATCAGTTAAAACTACCACCTGAGACCATCTAGTTTTTCAGATCTCAGCCTCAAAGTGTGAATTATCTCCAAGTTACACAAGCAAAAATGGCAAAAAAATGGGTCACTTTCCTAAGACTCATTTCCATTTCATGTGTATTAAAACGTTTAATCAAACCCAGATTCTGGACGTTGCTTGAGACAGAATAGTAGTATTGAAAATGACTGACCAATCACAGAAATATTACTCCAGGACCAGAATGTTAAGTAAATTACCTCTGATCTCAAAATATGAGGAGAAAAAGCTCACTGGTTCTTTTTTTTTTTTTTTAATCCTCACTTGAGGACATGCTTAGAGAGAGGAACGTCGATGTGAGAGAGAAACATGGATCAGTTGCCTTTTATATGTGCCCCAAGTGAGGATCAGACCCGCAACCCAGGTATGTGCCCTGACTGGGAATGGAGCCGACAACCTTTCGGTGCGTGGGACAGCACTCAACCACCTGAGCCACTCCGGCCGGCCTCACTGGTTCTTGACAGCTTTTCCAATGGGATTTCTTTGCTAATCTGAAACCACATTATGCCTTCAAAATACCAGCAAAAGGCACCTATATAACAAAGATCTTTTTCCTAATTCCATGGCAAGACTTAAAAAATATCAATACAACCAGACTTCAATGTGTGAGAGAGCCACGCAGGAGGGATAAGAACACCTTTAAATATATTGCTGTCCCCTGGCCAGGTAGCTCAGCTGTCTGAGCATCGTCCTGATATGCCAAGGCTGAGGGTTCGATCCCCAGCCAGGACACAAACAAGAATCAATCAATAGCCCTGGCCGGCATGGCTCAGTTAGTTGGAGCACTGTCCTGTACCACCAGAAGGTCTCGGGTTCGATTCCCAGTCAGGGCATATGCCTAGGCTGCAGGTTTGGTCCCTGCTTGAGGCATGTGCAGGGGGTAACTGATGGATGTGTCTCTCCCACATCAGTGTTTCTCTCTCCCCCCAACCCTCTCAAAAATAAAAAAAATTAAAAAAATTAACCAGTGAATGCATAAATAAGTGGAACAACAAATCAATGTTTCTCTCTCTCTCTCTCAAAAAAAAAACAAAAAAAAAAACAACTCAATAAAAAAAAGACTAATATATTGCTGTCCTGGTAAAAAAGTCATAGAGGTCCATTCAAGTTGTCCAACAATGTTATATAAGCAGACACTATCTTGATCATACCATCCCCAAGCAGTGACCAATTCTTCCACTTGACAAGGTCAGGTCCTTTGCACAGCACTCAAGACCCTCAAAACCTTCCGGAGCCTGGTTCCCATGGTCTCTTGATGCTCCGGCCCCAGCACCTAGTCCCTGTTCTCTGAACACACATCTTCCTTGCCTCTATGCTTTATATCAGGCTGGTCCTTCTTTCCAGCAGGCCCTTCTGCCTCTTTCCCATCCAGTGAATGGATTTAGATTACTGAGTGATCACGTCCAACCTCAGTCAGTTTCTATGGCAAGTGACCATAAGACCTCTCTGAGCCTCAGTTTTCTTTTTATTCCTATTAGAATGTAAGCTCCACCCATGACGGCAGAGATTTTTATCTGTGCTGATCAATGCTATATCCTAGAGCCTAGTTCTCTAGGTACATGGAAGGGGCTCAAGTTATATTTGTTGAATTAATGGGTTGGTTGATAATATCTTCCTTACAGGGATTAGACAAAATATATTGATGGTGCCAGGCACACAGTGCTTCCTAAATGGCAGCTACTACTATTACTCACGATTTGAGGCTCAGCTCATGTTTTCCCAGACTACCCACAGGAGCTGGCTGCTGCTTCCTCCCCCTGTTCTCGTAAGGCTCTGCACATCCCTTTAACATTGACTACCACGGCACTCTAGTTAGCTGCCTGCCATTGTGCCATTGTGGGCTTACTGCTAGAATGACTTACTTAAGGCAGGGAAGGTAATTATTCTCACCGCAACCAACGACAGCAAGTGGTCAGTAAATGGTTATTAATAAAGACACGGTCTCACACTGCCACCTGAGTCCTAATATCCAGTGATAGCCAGAATTCCAGAAGCAGCCATGCCCTCAATTATCCCCACTCTCTCTCTAAAGTTTTCTTTTAAAACAATATGCTTTTCCCCTGAAAATAAAAGTAATGTATGTCATTGTAGAAAAGCTGAAAATATGCTTAATGAGATGTTAAGGTGCATACAATTTGGTGTCTTACTTCTTTTGACATAACACAACATTTCTTCTTACATAAAAAAGTCTCACTATTGTAATTTTCAATTATCTTCATAATATTTTGTTATTGTTACATTATATGAATAGTTAACTTATTTAACTATTCCCTTTTTGGATTACCAATTTTAAGCTATTATAAAATAGTATTATGATGAAAGAACATTTTAATCCAAAACATTTTTCTATATTGTGGGTCATTTCCTTAGGATGTATGCTAGTAGAGTCAAAAGTTATGAGCATTTTTAAGACTTTTGAATCTGGTCTTTAAGTAGAGCTTTCCTTTATTTTCACAAGATTAATCCAGGCCTCTTTTGCTGGTCTGGACTACAGGAACCACTAGTAGGCTTACAGTTAATCACTCTCTATTTTAATCTATCCTCTGTAGTATTTATACCAGGACCAGAGTTACCTTCTTAAAAGTCCAATTGGATTTTAAGACATCAAATGGCTCCTCCCAGACAGGATAAAAGGCAAACTTCAGTCTGGTCTATAAGGCCTTTGCTATCTGAGAGCAAACATCTTTACTTCCAGCTGCTCTGTTCCCCACACCTGACGCTCATGCACCACTGAACTTCCCAAACACCCTTACGCTCATCAAACTGCGTCGGCATCTACTGTTCTCTTGGCTTAGAAGGCTCCTTCCCTTCCCTACCTTCTAACTGTATCTAGAAAGATCTTATTCATGAACTAATTTAAATGCCACCTCGTCTGTAAAATTTCTCCCAACCATCACATGAAGAATTAGCAGTTTTACCTCCACTATGTTTTCATGCATATTCTATTTTTTCAATTTAATATTTATTCCTCTCAGACTATCTGGGGGACAGGGATTGTGTCACATTCATTCTTGCATCCCAAAGGGGGCACGCAATAAATGTTCAATGATTAACTGATTACACAGGTTTTTATAGTCTGGTTTACCATGGGGACATGTCTGGGATATGCCAACAGAGGGAATGTTGGATGAATGTGAGATGTTTGTAATCACTCGGACACCTAGGACCCTTCTACACTTCAGGGTCTTAAATTTTAATTCTGAAACTTCAAAGTAAATACAATGAGAGGTGAGATGGGGAGGGAAGCATTCCCGAAGCCAGCTTAGTAATACCCTATTAACGACTCTCCAAACATCTCAGGAGATTACTTCAAATTTTTAAAAGATTACCTAAACAGTTTACATTGAAAAAGAAAACCCAAACCCAACTCTTTTAGAAAAAAGGGAGTATTTTTAATTTAAGTATGTAATGTAAGGATGCTGAACTAAAAGGTCTGGAAACCACTGATATCGAGGAGTAAATACTGCTAACTTTTGGCCAGCCGGGGATGGGAATGGTGGGAGTGAGACCGCCCCATATGATTGCTGAAGGCTCTCAGGCCCTGCCTCTGTTGTTGCCCTTTAAGCAGTGGGTTTCCATCAGCATGGGAGCCAGAGGGGGATTCATTTGTTCATGCCGTTCTTATATCATTTATTCATTCCACAATTATTACTGAGTACCTACTATGTGCCAGGCACTGTTCTACGTGCTGAAGACACATAGATAAGGTATACGGACACAGACAAGATTTCTGCTTCCAGGAACCTTTAGTGGGGAGCCAGGCAGAGAAACATGAAAACAAAAAAGCTTACGTTTAGCTGATGACAAGCGTAATATAGTGGATAAAAGAGGGCAAAGGGCAAAGGGACAGAGAGTAGTGACTGAGAAGTTAGTTATGTATTTAGATGGTCGGGGAGATCTGAGGAGGCACTATTTGAGCTGAGCCTCAATGAATAGCAGTGGGCAGCCAAACAAGATTTGGGAAAAGACAGTTCTAGGTAGAGGAACAGCAAGTGCAAAGCTGTCAAGTCAGGAGGGAGCCTGGTGCCTCTGACGACTGAAAGACAGCCAGAGTGGCTGCCGTGGAGTGAGTGGGTCAGGAGGGGGAGCGTCTGACGTGAAGCTAAGGAGACTGGGGGGCAGATCAACCTGACATTACAGACCCCGGTGAAGAGCCTGATTTTCTAAGTGTGATGGAAAGCTAAAAAGGGTATTAGGCAGGGGGATAAAATAATCTCCTTTATGTGTTAAAGATAATTCTGGCTGCAGAGTGGAAAATGGTTTTGGGAGGCAAGTATGAAGGAGGATACCAATTATGAGGTCTTTGTGCTTTTTGTTTTTTTCCATTTACTGTAATCAAAGCAATGGCCTAGCCAAGATGGGGAAAAGGGAATGGACTCAGGATACATTTTGAAAGTGGACTCAACAGGGCTGGCTGATGGACTGGATGAGCGTAATGAGGGACAGGGAGGACACGGGGAACTGAAACTCAGTCCACTTTGTATGAGTAAAAACTTAACGTGCCAGCGGGGCAGGGGTGAAGGAGACTGAGAACTATTATACTAAACCAGGTTTGGAAATTCTGGCATCTATTTATCTAGGTACCTGCTTTATACGGAAACAAGAAGTGGTTATACTGAGATTAGGAAAGGTAAAGATGAACAAAACTGCTTTGTAAAACAATTCTCTTTTAATATCAATTTGAGGATCATCCTAATAGAGAATCTTGTGTTAAGTAGGCAACTGAAAATAAGAGTAAGAGTTCTATATACTGAAAATCTACCAGATGCCGAGCATGGTGCTAGGTGTTATTTCATCTCAAACTAGCCTTATAATATATCCCCATAATATAGATAAGAAAATTGAGGCTCACAGAGACTAAGGAACTAGTGTGGTCATATAGCTCCTTAAGAGGCTGAGGCAGGATTTTAACCCAGGCAGTCCTATGTCAGAGCCTAGACCCCTCATCACTATGTTACGTTGCCTCTAATATTAACAATTTTATGTTAAGCACAGTCTGAGAGGCTGGGCAGATACAGTTACATGTATCTTCAGAGTTGTTACAATTTAATATGAGCAATATGTTAGAGAAATACAAACCTTGTAGGAATAAACAACTTTGCAGGTGAGTGGGTAATTTCTTAAGGTGCCAGAAGGACTGGAACTGCTGTCATCAAAAACATCCATGTTGTCTTCAAACTCTTCTCCTTCTTCTCTTTCGGTGTCTGCATTAAGCTAGGAAAAATGGGAAGCCACTGGCTAGCTTGCTTACTTCAAGAAAATGGTTGAAAGCAAGAGAAACACTTAAAACCTGATTATTTAAAAAAATTAACATATTCAACTGCATATAGAAGTAAGTATCTGTTTTCACTTGCATTTTTCATGTTATGAAAGGACAGAGGTTATTTTCTTTTTAAAATCAAGAGTAAATGTCTTTCAAATATATAAGATATATTTATTAGTATCCTTTTACTTTTCACTGTTAAATATTGACTAATAAAGACCTCTTACCATTTTAAACCGGTCATATTGGGAAACATTAAAAAGATTTCTAAATGCTACCAAGGATGTGGAGAAATAGGCTTTCATGTATGGCTGATGAAAACATAAATTGATACATCCTGTAAAAAAAAATAACCTGCCTACTGAAATTAGAAACTAAACACACCACTTGGCCTAGCAATTTCACTTCTGTAAATTCACTATGGAGAAATAAACATATCAGATTACTGCAATACTGCATGTAGTGGCAAAAGCCTGAATACAATCTATATAGCCATCAATAAAAGAATGTTTAAATAAACTATGATGTGTACATATTATAGATCAGTAACACCCATTAAAAATGATTTAGGGAATAGAAGGCTCAGAAATAAACCCTCCCATATATAATTAAATGATTTTTCAACAAGGGTCCCAACACTATTCAATGGGGAAAGTACAGTTTTTTCTACAAATGGTACTGGGAAAACTAGATATCTACATGTAAAAGAGTGAAGTTAGACCCTTACCTTATAAAAATTAACTCAAATGGATCAAAGACCTAAACATAAGAGCTAAACTATAAAACTCCTAGAAGAAAGCACAGGGGAAAAGGTTCATGACACTGGATTTGGCAATGATTTCTTGGATATGACACCAAAAGTACAGGCAACAAAAGAAAAAAAATAGATAAACTGGACTTGATCAAATAAAAAACTTCTGTGCATCAAAGGACAAGAGTAAATGGCAACCTACAGAACGGGAGAAAATATTTGCATATCATGTATCTGATAAGGGATTGATATCCAGGATATATAAAGAATGCCTAAAACTCAACAAAAAAGGGGGGACATTTGTAATACTCTCAACAATAAAGATTAAAAAATATAATTAAATTAAAACAAAAAACCCAAAATGGATAAAGGACTTGAATAAACATTTCTCCAAAGGAGATACCCAAGTGAGCAATAAGCACATGAAACAATGTTCAACATCACTAACCACTGGGGAAATGCAAGTTGAAAACTAACATATCACTTCACACCCATTAGGATGGCTATTATCAAAAGAGAGGAAATAAGTGGAGATAAGTGGAGAATTGGAACACTTGTGTTACTGCTGGTAGGAATGTAAAATGGTGGAGCTGCTGCAGAAAACAGTATGGCAGGTCCTCAAAAAATCTAACACAGAATTACCATAAGATGCAGCAACTTCGCTTCTATGTATATACACCCCAAAGAATTTGAAAGCGGGGACTTGGATAGATATTTGTACAGCAATGTTAACAGCAGCATTATTTGTAACAGCCAAAAGGTGGAAGCAACCCCAGATGAACGGATGAACAGAATACGTTAAATACATACAAGAGAGTATTATTCAGCCTTAAAAAGGAAGGAAATTCTGACACATGCTACAATATGGGTGAACCTCGAGGATGTTAAGTGAAATAAGCGAGTTACAAAAAGATAAATACTATATGATTCTACTTATATGAGGTACCTAGAATAGTCAAATTCACAGAGACAGAACGTAGAATGTTGGCGGCCAGAAATTGGGGGTTTGAGGAATGGGAAGTTTAATGGGTACAGAGTTTTTCTTTTGTAAGATGAAGAGTTCCAGAGATGGGTGATGGCTATGGTTGCAGAGCCACGTGACTGTACTTAATGCGACTAAACTATACACTTAAAATGGTTTCAATGGTCAATGTCAATTTTATGTCATGTATATTTTACTACAAAAAGGGGCACTTTTCCTTTTGAAATACAGCACAAGGAAAATAATTTTTTAACTAAGTTTAAATGTATATTACCCACCACAGCTAAAAGGCATATATTAATTAAAATGGTATTGAATGTAAAAAAATATATTTGCCTAGAGTACTGTCCATGGTATTGAAGTACAAATAATATTCATATGAGCAAAACTATCTGACAGGGGGAGGTAGAGTAAGAAGAATGATGACTGGAGAGAAGAGGGACTGACCTGTTTCCTATATACACCTGTCTGTCTGAAGTATTAGAAGCATGTTTTACTTTTTAAACTAAAAATCCAATAAAGAAGACACAAAACCAGGCTTAAAGGTTTCTTTGTAGCTACATATAAGCACTTATTTGGCTACATTTCCCCCTGTTCAAACATCCACAGGCACCAATGTTTACACGTTAAGGGTATAAGGAATGAGCAGTCAGAACTGGGCATCATGGTACAATTAATTAAAATATCAAATACCTACTAAACATTAACACTATGCTTGGCTCTTAGATATGAAATGAAGGACGCCACGCATGGTTTGCAGGAGCTCCCAACCTAGAGTGGAAAACGACCACACCTAAATGCTAAGTGCACAGGGAAGCTGAATACGGAAGAGGTCACTGGAGAAGGCCAGAGGATTCCTGGGATTCAATGAGTCAAAAAGTAGAGGCTGCCTATATTTTCGAGTTCTACTTTTTAATAAATTAAAGTTATTTCTCTTGAGTAATTATCACTAACATTTTAAAACTGACTCACCTCTTAACTGCTATTTCTCTAACAAAATTCTACAGAATTTTCTGTGTGGTGGGGAGGGGGTTTTCAGAAGACTAAATGGTGCATATTTTCCATCACCTTTATTGCCTCTATTTCAAAATCCCTGCATATTCTCATTTATAACTACTATTGAAAATCTCCACAACTGAGTGAGGTAATTGTGTACCTCACCTTACAAATAATTCATCTATGGTCAGTCAGGTCAATGACAAAATAGTCTCAAATCTTGACCTTTCAAATCACCTCAGGCTTATGATTCCACTGTTTCCCAACAGGGCACTGTGTCATAAAAGATGAGTATCATATGCTAGAAATTGCTTTCATAGTTGAGCAAAGGTTATAGACATTAAAAAAAAACTGTTGGCATTACAAAAAACAAAGCAAAACAAAACACCCATACATCTATAAAAACTAAAATGAAAGCCAATGTGGGTAGAACAAGTTTCCAAAAATATATATGGAATGTTAGTATGTACCGTGCTTTGGCACTGGGAACAATCCAAAGCATTTTATCTTGGCAATGTTGTTTGATACTGAACATTCCTTCCTTCCCCTTTATATTCTGAGTTCGTTTTCTGATTCTCATGAACAGGAACGAGAGGTTGCAGCAACAGCAGTAGGGGTCACTGGCCATGTGCTGTGCACTGCTGTTTCGTAACAGCTGCTCTCTTACCCCTTTCCTTCCTAACACCTGACAGAACTTTAATCACAACTATTTTTTCGAGCTGTACTAATATTCTTCCTTTCTTTGATATTGTAAAATGCTTACTCTTATTGCAAGGGCAGGTAAGAACCTTTTTGAGTAGGTTTCAGTAGCCAACGTCTTGTACTTGGCAAAATAACCCCTGAAAGGGCTGTGTCAGCTTTAGGTACCGCAACGAACCAGGAAGCAAAGGATCCTCCAGGTCCAACACACATGGGTGTGAGTGCGGACTATGCCATTTACTTGCTGTGTGACCTCGGGAAAATTATTTAACTTCTCAACGTTATTTCTATAATGAAGACAATACTCATTCATATGAAAAGATGCTCAACATTATTAATGAAATGCAAATTAAAACTATAATGATATACTACTGAATACCTATTAGAATGTGTTGGCAAGGATGTGGAACAATTGGACCACCAGTATCCTATTCTGTGTCTGTTTTGTTAATCCTCATCAGAGGGTATTTTTTTCCATTGATTTTTAGAGAGAGTGGAAAGGGGGGAGAGAGAGAGAGAGAGAGAGAGACATCAATGTGAGAGAGGTACATTGATTGGTTGCCTCTTGCATGTGCCCTGACCAGGGCCGGGATCGAACCTGAAACCCAGGTATGTGCCCTTGACCAGGAATCGAACCCTAGACACTTGAGAGCCTGGGCTGATGCGCTAACCACTGAGACACACCGGCCAGGGTGGCCAGTACCCTATTGATGGGAATGTAAAATGGTACAACTACTCTGGAAAACAGTTTGGCAGTTTCTTAAAATGTTAAATATATACCTGCTATAATATTATCATAATTAGCTAGTTACTATTAATCATAGGAAGAGAGCAAAGGAGAGGCCAGACATTATAAGCACGGTCATCTAGGCAGCTTCACCAGGAAGCTACAGCTTCACCCCTGGGAACCATCTATCCATTCTCCCTGGAGATCACTGGGGGAAGAGCCGGAACAAAGGGGGAGATGGGTGCATGCACAGTAAAGTTGGGGTGACATATGGAAGATGTCTGCCTGTGAGTCTAGCACGGGAAACAAATGGATTGGCTAGAGGGTGTGAAATCTTAGTTAAAATCCCAGACAAGAAGTTCCCCCTCTCTTATTTGCCCCTTTTTTGTTCTTGCCCTCTCTTGCACTCATCTATTCTCTCTCATAGCCACGTGGCCTTTTTATTTATTTTTTAAAATATATCTTTATTGATTTCAGAGAGAGGAAGGGAGAGAGAGACAGAAACATCAATGATGAGAGAGTCATTGATTGGCTGCCTCCTGCATGCCCCTGACTGGGGATCCAGCCCACAGCCTGGGCATGTGCCCTGACCAGGATCCTAGGTCGATGCTCAACCGCTGAGCCACGCCTGGCCAGGCAGCCATGTGGCCTTTAAAAAAAAAAAGTTTTTTATTAATTTTAGAGGGAGAGGAAGGAAGAGGGAGAGAGAGATAGAGACATTGATGAGAGACCTCAATATGGATTGGCTGCCTTCTGCACGCCCCCCTGCTGGGGATCGAGCCTGAAACCCAGGCATGTGCCCAGACCAGGAATTGAACTGATGACCTCCTGGTACATGGGATGATGCTCAACCACTGAACCACACTGGCTGGGCAGCCATGTGGCCTTATTACAGAAAAAACGCTCCAGCATGAAAAAAAGAAATAGGTATACAATTTTTTTTTAGAGTATTATTTAGACTATCTGGAGGCAATCTAAATATGGAACCTGAATCTAAATAAGAAACAGTTAGTTAAATGAATTACAGTACACTTTCCTGGTGGAATACTATACAGACACAAAAAGGATAGTTATGAAGACCATTCATCAATATGGAATGTTAGATAGAAAAATATACAAAACTAACATTATCTTTAAAAAAAGAAGAGGAAGGAATTACATTAAGTTGCTAATGGTGTGATTAGGATAGAGCTTTAGGTCACTTTCTTCTCTATTGCACTTTCTAAATTTTTTTATAGTTTGGTTATCTTTTTCTATTCTAAAATTAATATAACTTCAAAATTAGGCTGTAAACTGGGTTTTTGAATAAGATAAGGCAGAAAAACAAGAGAAGGGAGGGATGAGTGAAGGCTGGCTGGGTCACTGGCAGCAAACCAATCACATGAAGCCGGTGCAGGATCTGGTAAACCATCAACTGAATAACTGTATCAGTCGGCTGCTCTTTTAATTTTTTCTTTTCATACTCACTGGAGGATATGTTTGATTTTAGAGAGGGGAAAAGGGGGAGACAGACAGACAGACATCAATCGGTTGGCTCCCAGACACGCCCCAACCCGGGATCAAACCCCCAACCTCAGTATGTGCCCTGAATGGGAATCAAATCCCGCCACCTTTTGGTGTACGGGACAATGCTCCAACCAACTGGACAACCTGGCCAGGGCATAAAGGGTATTCTTACTTTAATTTTAGAAGAATCTCAAGTTTTAACATCCTGAACTAAAGTTTTAAAATGGAAGTTACTTTTTTGGACACACACATAAGTATTTATTTGTTGCCTTACATTGTGGAGCTCTCTTATTAGAAATCTTCTAATAACCTTTCCAAGTGTCAGATGGCTTTTGATGTCCATTTGGTCTAAAACAGTGCATCATAACTGATGTGTTTTGTATCTTAGAACCTTAAGAATTCATGTAAATAAAAAGTGTTTTCCCCCAGCACAGAAATTTCACTTCAGCAGCGACTAGAGTACATTGCGCGAGCCATTCTTAGTGCCAAAAGTTCCACTGCCATTTGCTCAACAGCTGCGGACGGTGAATTCCTTNAGGGAGGGAGGGAGAAACATCAATGTGAGAGAGAAACATCAGTTGCCTCCAAATGCACCATGACCGGGATCAAACCCACAACCTAGGTATGTGCCCTGACCAGGAATCACACCCACATTTTGGTGTATGGGACGATCCTACAATCAACTGAGCCACCGGCCAGGGTGAATGCTTTCCTTTTTAAAAAATGTTGTTATATTCTATAATTCTTTGTCTTTTTTTCTTCCCAATCCTATATTCTGTACTATAGCATAATACAGAGGAAAAGAATTAATACCCAACTAAGTCTAGTTCCTTCTTTATTCTATAAGGTAAAGAGACTGTATATCTTCATCACATTTACCTTGTATAAGGCACTTTAACTTTACACTGTTGGTGTCTAACAGCAGTATTAGCCATGTTTTCCAGATGGAAGGGAATTCTAAACTTGATGACTAATGTTTTTGTTGGCATCTATAATGGAAGAAATAATTTGGTCCCCAGACTATGTATTTCTGATTTATGCTCCTAGCCAGCTAGCTGTCAGTGCAAAGAGATAACTCCCTCTGAGTAATTTTAGTGCAGTCATTTGAAAGCAGGTTAAATAAATATTGAGGCTTCATTAAGCTACTTTGTGCCTACTTCTCTCCCTTATTTATATTTTAAGTAGAGCTTCCACAAAATATATCCCTCAGCTGAAAGTGGGAAGACACAAGCTCCAATAAGACCGACTAGAGGAAAGAATGGAACTGCAACATGCTCCTTTCACAGAGGATATGGTATGTCTCTAGATGAGCTGATGTCTTTGAACAGTTCTCAAAAATACTCAGCTTAATCAACACTCACTGCCAGACTGTACTACTCACTGCCAGGCACTGTACTAGGCACATCTGTATTTCCTTCCTTCACACTCAGAAGTCCTTTTTAATCATCTGTTAAAATTCTTCAAGGAATACCTCAAATGACATTCCCTTCTTGGGTGAACTTCTTTCCTATTTTTCTAGCTCATATTGAGCTTTACTGATACCCTTTAACAAAATCTGGAGTTGGAGGGGATCTTAGATTTATTTAACCTAACTTTCTCTCTGAAACCCAGAGAGAACTGACTTTTTTCAAGGTGTGCAGATGAGTTAAGAGTAAGCAATTCTGAATATGCCATACAGTACCTCAGTCACACAACTGCCATGTATCACTAAGATCTATAAAAGCCTGTCTGCTCTATTAGTTTGTCAGCTCTTTGAGGAGAGAGACCAAGTCTTGTTCATCTCTGATTTGCTCAGGAAGCAAGCAGTTAGGCGATAAGTGCAAGCCCAGTTGATTTAGTTAGAAAAGGTGCTAGTCCAAGGAACAGCATGGGTTTGACTGGCTGCCAACAGTGCTGCCGAAGAAGCCAAAAGCAAGTCTGTGCCTGGAGTTTGCTGTCATCAGAGCTCCTGTGCAAAAGAATAACTTGAAGTAGATGGGAATCTGACTTTTAAAAGATGCAAGCTCTTCTAACGTCAAAGTCAAGTGGGCGATGTGTGTTTATTTTCCCCAGATGGGTACCATTAATAGTGAAATAAAAAGAAAACGTCAGTAGATTGTTTTTCCTTAAAATGCACATCCACACGCAATCCTTTTTAAAAGCGCAAGCAGAATGTTATGTTAAAAAATCGACAACACTTCTAGGAATGTTCTTAAATGTTGGCTAATTTCTCAAGCAAGGATGCCTTTTGTGATCTGAAGGGCACAAGCACTGAAGGGGCACTAAGAATATAGTGGGAAGTTGGAAGATTAGAATTTTAGCTTTTAGTTTGCCACTATTCCCTCCTTCTGCCCATCTATTCATTCACTTCTTCCTTCAACAGATGTTTATTGAGTACCTATTATGTGCCAGACACTTTGCTGTGCACAGCAGTGAACCAGGCAGCATGGAGATTACATTCTAGAGAGAAAGACAGATAATAAACAAAGGAAAACAAATTAAGAAGATAAATATAGACAGTAATAAATGCCACAAGGAAATAAACAGAGAGAGAGAGTAATGGGAGGGGAGGTAGCAGTAGAGATTACTTTAGTCTGACCAGCTAGGCATCATTCTACTCACCCATATAATATCAGGAAACTCACTGAACTTTTCTGTGACCCAGATCTCCAACATGAAAAACTAAGGTTTAACTGGATGATACTGGAGTGGACAGAGCCCTGGACTTGAAAACTTAAGCTTGAGTTCTGGCCTTGTTTGTAAGATACCGTCTCCCTGGTTACAGGTTCTGTGACCAGAGTGTGAAAGACCTTGTGAATTGAAAAGACTGAGCCACAGATTAAGAGTGTTCCTTTCCCTCCTTTAATATTGTTTCCAACTCTCTGGATGTTTATTTTCATTTACACTAGAAAAGACTTGTGAGAACTTCAGAAACCCTAGATTAAAATTTTTATTCTTCTATTTCCAGGCAAATCTACTTCATGAATGGGATAATGAAGATGGCAAATCAGCACTGATAAACCAACTAGTGATAATATATTCTTCACTGAACACCTTTACTTATTTACTTATTTTTATCCTCACCCGAGGATATTTTTTCCGATTGGTTGCCTCCCACACCACCCCGACTGGGACCGGGGATCGAGCCTGCAACCAAGGTATGTGCCTTTGGCCAGAATTGAACCCAGGACCCTTCAGTCCCCGGGCCGATGCTCTAAATCCTGAGCCAAAGCAGCTAGGGCTTCACTGAACATCTTTAAAAAGCATGATTCCCCCCACCCCGACACCTTTCTTTCTCATACTAAAGTTTAACTCAATTAGGATAGGTTAAAGAAAAAAAACCACAAGCAAAAGCATTATTTTTTCTTTAAAAATGTGGCCATCATCAGGTTTGGCCAAGAATATCATCCTTCAATGAAAGTTAGCCTGTCATATCCAAGAGGAGAAACCGTACCGAGTGTAAAGTGCCATTATTGGTCACCGCAGGAAGGCGGGCCCACCGCTCATTTTCCAGTTCTTCCATTACTTGGTTCATTGCACTCTTTAGCCACGTGTCCACAGAAACACCGATCTGCTTGAGCAGGTCCAGCCGGGCTTCAGCTTTCAACTTAATTATCTAAGAAAACCAAGGAAACGGTAAAAAGTCAAGTCATTTTCCCTCTCAAATAGACTATTTTAAAGTTATTTCTGACTTATTAATTAGAATAATATTGATATTCACTAGCAATTCTACCTTAGCAGAGTTAATTTTTCAAATGGAGAGAGGCAGCATTTCATTAACCTTGCAGTAACAAGGCCTCGGATTCTATGCAATGAAAATTTTTAGACTTATCAGAACATTATGGCAAGGGTCTTACTGCTTTGAGTTACTGAGGTATAAGGATGACATAGTAATTTTTTGGGGAGAGGGGCTATACTATTATTATTTCATTATTAAAGAATCCACTTCTATGACTGTCAAACACTAATGTGTTCTGGAGGTAACTACATCCCACTCTGGACTTTCTGGTTGTAACCACTGTCCTTTCTCTACCTCAACTGAAAACCCAGGCTCACGAGGTCTCAATCCCTGCTTTCCTAGTCATGGAAGAGGCCAAAGCCAACTATGTAGGAGGCTTTTCCAGAGAAAAAGAAGACTCTGTCTTCTCAGAAGACAAACCCTCTGCTTTGCTTTATGAGGTGGACAGCAACCTCAAACCACAGACAGGCTGGGACCTGTGCAGGCTTCAATGACTTAGTAATTTTGAATTCCTAGAGTATAACAGAACCTTATGAAATGATATTTTAAGAGAAAATGGTTGTCTTTGAAAATGTGTTCATATAACAATAAATGATTTTTTTGTTTTGTTAATTCACTTGATACTATGTACTTTGGCTTTCAAATGTACCTTCAGATCATAGAATATCTTGGAGAAAGAATCATACAGTTTACAGTTCCTCTTGCAGACCTTACACCAAATGTGAGTTACTAAACATTTCTGGGTATCTTTAACTTCTTACATTAACTTTCTCCTCTTTGTGTTAAACATTTCACTATCATAAGAGAGAACTGCCCTCAAGCCAAATAAAAGGTGCAATTTAAACATAAATATAATTGTGTTCTGGAACAACATGTCATGTACCACCTCCAAAAAGATGGATTTAAAAATTCTTGGCAAGCTACTTTTAAAATAGGTATGATATATCAGATGAAGAATGTGTGTGTGTGTCTTTGTGACAAAGTAATTTCAAAAATTCAAATACCTAAATAGAAGGTTAGGAAGATTGTTATTAAAGTCTAATTTAAGCAGCTATTGCCTCATTTCCATTCTTGAATTAGTCAGTGGCCACAAACAGTAGCATATCTAGTACAAATATTCTGTGACCACCATAGAGGTCATAATAATAACAATAATTTGTTCATTGCTGTATGTCTAAAATACTCATCTGTATCTGGCACTGAGCAGGTACTCATAAAGTATTTGTCAAACTAATCAATTAGTGAATTTGCTCCCAAATTAACCAGCCAATAATTAATTAATCACTATATAACTCCTGTTTGGAAAAGTACAGGCCATTTATGTTTTCAATTTCTTATGACTGGAAAAAGTTTCTTTAATCTCTTACTGAGCACCACAAGGATTTTTATACTAATTAGCAACACAGAACAAAAACACAATGTAGAAAACACTGGATAAAGCAGATGAACCAACAAGGGTCGGGATAACACTCATGTTAATAGGAGTTAAAAACCAAACACGAAGGATATAATAACATTTTAACCAGCTTTCTCAGTTTTGTACAGGTATTTATAATAAATCAAGTAAATAACTATTAAATGAAAAGAGAAAATCCAAAGCAAATGATATGTAAGCAGAAGAAAGAAGGGAATCCAATAAAGCCATTATTGTCAATTCCTCTGAAGGTTCTTGTGGTATAGTCTATCCAAAAACTTCATTAGGACAATCCTCTAAGTACTACCCCAACACTACCTATATAGCTGCCATCTAATTTTAGCTGGGTTATTCTCTGTATCTGATAAATGGAAATCAAGTGAGATCATGTTAAGACAGCAAGATTAGCTACATTTCACAGACATTCAAAACTGAGATAATGAACCTGGCATCATGGTTTTTAGCATGTTCCATATTTTGGTAAGAAAATTATTTTTGAGAACGCAGACTTAAAAACTGGTATTGGGAGAGAGGAGACATTCTTTTGTGGGAATCTCACTTCATATTTTTACCTTTATGCTAACACACATAGGGTAGTTTAGCAAATTCACGGAAATAACAGGTCATTCAGCCTAAATGCAGACTTTGTGTGACTGATACCCACTACCTCACTGCTGGGTGGTTTGGTGGAGCTAGGGTGGCAGACGGTGACACCATGGATGGAGTCTGGAAATGGAAAATACAAGAGAGAACACACCCTTCAGAAAACTTCTGAGACTCGTCCTGTTCTACCAAGGCTCTGAAACTGGCTTCACCCAGAGTCTGAAGAAACAAACAAGAAAAGCTCTTCTACATAAGCCAATGTTTCTCAAACTAGGAGGACCTGCCAATAGTACTTGGCCAGCACACTAGGGTAGTGGTTTAGCCCTGACCCTCAATTCAGAGAGGAAAATGGCTATTTATTATATACCCTGCCCTCTTCACTATGGGGGCTGCAGATCACTTGCCAGGAAAAAAGGTGAGCTGTGGTTATTAGGGCTTCTCTAGACCAGGCAGATGGCAAGCTGTTTCTGGTTCAGATCACTTCCATGCGGTGCTGCCAGAAACATTCCTGTATTTTCTGTTTGCCTATGCTACCTTTCCACCACACCCTCGCCCCCACCACTGGAACATGTCCTCAAAACCTCTTGAATCCCGAGGGAGTATATGAAAATCACTGGTTTAGATTAACTCTTAACCAATGCAAGAATTCCTTGTATAGAGTCCCAGAGAGATGTTTGCCCAGAATTGTAAAGCTGCTCTGTGCAATATCCCAGAGGAGCTTATTTTGTCATTGGGAAGATCTGATTGTTAGAAAGTATTTCCCAATACCAAGCTCAGATCTGCCTCCTTCCTACCTTCTTGTTTTGGTTCAAGTTCTGCCTTTTGAGGTTGCATGGCATAAATCTGTGCTATCCCTTTTTTTCAGACTAATTAAATACTAGTGATCTGTCAATACCCATCTTAAGTCCTACTTCTTCAGTGTTTCCTGCCCTAACAACTCCTCCCGCAGTGTCCTGTTTCTTCTGGGTTTCTTAAGTGTTAAGTATGCTTCTGTGGACCACTGCTCCTTGGCACTTATGCTTTACAGTCTTAGTTATCTTTGGCATGCTTTATGCCTTCCTAACAAGAACAGATTGTCCTTGAGGGCTGGACAGACTCAGCCTTTTTTTTTTTTTTTTTAATATTTTTTTTATTGATTGCAGAGAGAGGAAAGGAGAGAGAGACAGGAATATTAACGATGAGAGAGAGTCATCTATCGGCTGCCTCCTGCACGCTCCCTACGGTGAATCAAGCCTGCGGCCTGGGCATGTGCCCTGACTGGGAATTGAACTGTGACCTCTGGGTTCATGGGTTGATGCTCAACTGCTGAGCCAAGATAGCCAGGCCAGACTCAGTCTTTATTTTTTTTATTTTAAATATGTCTTTATTGATTTCAGAGAGTGTAAGGGAGAGGGAGAGCAAGAGATAGAAACATTAATGATGAGAGAGTCATTGATTGGCTGCCTCCTGCACACACCCTGCTGGGGACCGAGCCTGCAACCCGGGCATGTGCCCTGACCGGGAATGGAACCCCATCTCCTGGATCATAGGTCAGTGCTCAACTGCTGAGCCACGCTGGCCAGCCTTGGTCTTTTTAAAATGTCTACTTCCACATCCCTTCCATGGCGCACTGGGTAGATAACTAGGCCCAAGTGTGCACAGGTCCTCCATGAACTGGTCCTAACCACAATTAATTTATTTACTGTCTACCAAATTTCCTTACAAAAATCCTCCATTCCAATCAGATCTAACTGCCAAACTATATCCTATGTCTTCCTCCTTTTCAAGTGACTTCTTTCTTTCTATCTTAACCTCTCCCCCTTCAGTTCAGGGAATATTAGCCTAGGGTACATGAACTTCTGGACACTGTACATAAAATGTTCCTTTATTTTTGGTGGGAGAGAGGGTTTTACACTTTCATACAACACTCAAAGGGTCCTATGACAACCCTCACAACCCCAAATTAAAATTTACTGTTGCAACTTTTCTTTTTCCTCACTCGAGGATATGTTTATTGATTTTAGGAAGGAAGGGGGAGAAAGAGGAGGAGAGAGAAAAGGAGAAATATTAATGTGAGAAGCATCAACTGGTTGCCTCATGTACATGCCCCAACCAGGGACTGAACCCACAACCTGGGTATGTACCCAGACCTGGAATCAAACCCGCAACCTTTCAGTGTATGGGACAATGCTCCAACTGAGCCACACTGGCCAGGGCTGATGTAACATTTTTTTTTGGTCTTGTCTGTTTAACCACGTCTTCTCCTTCAGCTTATGCCTCTAGATCCAAGATTCCAGAGAACCTTCCATATAAGAGTGACTTTTCTGGGCTCTGAACTTATATATATAAATTTCTCTTTAATCCTCACTCCAGGATATTTTTCCCATTGCTTTTCAGAGAGAGTGGGGGGGAGAGGGGGGGAGAGAGAGGGAGAGAGAGAGAGAAACATTGATGTGAGAGAGACACATCGGCTGGTTACCTCCTGCTCGAGCGCCGACTGGGGCTGGGGATTGAGCCTGCAACCAAGGTACGTGCCCTTGGCCGGAATCAAACCTGGGACCCTTCAGTCCATGGGCTGAGGCTCTAACCACTGAGCCAAACCGGTTATGGCATATATATAAATTTCTATACCATTAATCTGATTGATTTATTACGTGCCTTGTGAAACTTTAAAATTAGTATCTTCATTGTGACTTCTTTTTTTATTTAGTGTTTCATGACTGTAAACTCTTCTTAGCGGGTTTAGTGCCTTTTTGTTGTGTGTACCACCTCGTATGAAGCAGTTATCAAAATAATACTCTTGATACACATGAAGATGGTGAATCATTTTCAAAATAATCAGTGTTTAGAAACTGAATTCTAAAGGTACATATCATAGCTGAGACACTGATGGAGCTGGGCAAAATGCCAAAATGAGCTACCACACCTCACCTCTGCTTTACGAATATTTTCTCTAGCTTCATCTATTTTCTGTTCCAGCTCTGCTCGGCTTTGTTCTGATACTGCAGCTCCATGACATTCCAGATCATCTAGAACCTATTAAAGAAAACAGAAAGAAAATGATTGATTTTTCTTAAGTGATTAGAGTATTTAGATAATTTAAAAGACTTTAGTAAGGAATGGCAATGATTAATTTTTTAACCTTTAATTTTTTTCAGTTTTTATTTGTTAATTAAAAAAACAACAACCTGAAATAATTACAGACCCCAAAGAAGCTGCAAAAGTAAAACAGAGTCCCTTCCTTCAGCTTCCCCAAATGGCAACAATGTGCAGAAGTACAGTACAATATAAAAACCAGGAAATTTACATTGGTACAATCTGTAAACCTTATCTGGACTGCACATTTTGATATGCATACCTTTAATTTTTAAAAACTACAAAAATATGAAGTATTGTTGCACAACAACTAACAAAAAATGGCAAAAACTCTGTTATACCTGCACACCCCACCATGTATCTGACTCCCCAAGATAACCACTGTCCCATCAATTTACATGTATTTTTTTCAAACCATTTCTTATGTGTTTCCTACATACTTGCAGTTTGTTTAAAAAAATAATTAAATGACATCTATCCTCTCAATGTGTTTAAGAAACCTTTTTATGTTTTTAAAAATAGACTGACTTCCTACTCTAATTAATCCATAGATTCAATAATTTAACTGTACCATGCTTTATTTACTCTTGATCTACTGCTAGTTGAGTTTGCAAATTTCTCATTATTATAAATAGTACTGTACAAACAACCTAGTCAATGACTTCTTGAATACATAGGGGAATATTTATTTAAGATAAAACACGTAAGTGGAAATTGTACATTTAAAAAATATATATATATATCTTTATTGATTTCAGAGAGAGGAAGAGGGAGAGAGAGAGATAGAAACATCAATGATGAGAGAGTCAATGATCGGCTGCCTCCTGCACGCCCCCTACTGGGGTTTCAGCCCACAACCCAGGCATGTGTCCTGATGGGGAATGGCGGCCGGGCTAAACACCTTATTCTTCACTCATTAATAAACTGACTAAATTATCTTATGACACTGAAAAGTAGTGGTGATGAAGGGTACTGTTTTCTTATATTATCACTGTAGCAGGCAGAAAGGCCTCCAAAGATGTCTACATCCTAATCCCTGGAACTGTATATGTAAGATAATTTGCAGATATATTAGAGTTCTAGGCCTTAAAATAGGGAGATTATCCTGAATTATCTGAGTGAGCCCAATCTAATCACATGACCCCTTACAAGCAGAGAACTTTCTCTGGGTGAAGTGAGATGAGCCAAAAGGGAAGTCAGCGAGATTCCAAACTCTGAGATATAGAAGCCCACGCACAAGGACCAGAGAGATTGCCCTTTAGTAGCTAAGTGTATCCCCCAGCTAATAGCCAGGGAGGAAACATGGAACTCAGTCTTACAGTTATAAGGAACTAGATTTTGACAACAAACTGCATGAGTTTGGAAGCAAATTCTCCCCCAGAAGCCAGCTTGGCTGATATCTTGACTTTGGCCTTGTTAGAGCCAGAGCTGAAAAACCAGCTAAGCCCACTAAAACTTCTGACCTCCAGAACTGTGAGATAATAAATTTACATTGTTTTAAGTCACTAAGTTTGTGGTAATTTGTTATGGCAGCTATAGAAAACAAATACAACCATTGAGTATAATGTTTACTGTAAATTTCAATATATCCTCGTCAGGGTGAAAAAGGTTTCATTCAGCTGGCTAGGAATTTTATTTTATTTTTTACCGACTAAGGGATACTAAATTTTATCACATGCTTTTCTTGGACAACTAAGAAAATTATCACAGAATTGATCATCTTTATTCTATAAGTGTAGTTTATTACATTGCTAAATTATCTAATGCTGAATCGTCCTTACACCCTAATTAGTCATGTGCTTAAAACACAGCTAGATTCATTTCTATTAAAATTTATTTAGCATTTTTACGAGTTTGTTGCACTTTTGTTAAAAATTAATTGACCGTATACGTGTGTGCCCATTTCCAGACTATTTTGTTCCATTCACCTATAAGTCTATTCTGACACCAATATCGCAACATCTATTTAGTTTAGTCTTAAAGATACATTTTCATGGAATCTATAATTGTGTCTTCAAGAAATGTGTCTTGGGGATGGAAAGCCAAATTCAACAGGTTTATGCCTCTTCCATCGCCTAAGAGACTATAATACATTATCACTAGCCTTTCTTAGGCAATTTTGTGGTGAACAGATGAGTTACTGTGTTGCTGCTAGAGGCCTTCAAGGAGTTTCCGAGCTAACTAGATAGCTGAGAGCAGTAACTGAGTTCTGAGAAATTATAAAAGAAATATAGGATATTCTTCACATTAATAAAACTCAACTCTTTAAATTGGTTAGATATTTGGCTTAAGCTAAATGGAGCCTAAAACTCTATTATACTTGCCCGTTGCTGGTGAACAATGTTTTTGTGCTCACGTGCCACACGTGTGGCCCATTTCCGAGCCTCCTTGTTTAGACTGTGCTCCTCTGTGGTCCCAGTTTCTGATTCTAATTGTCGGCTCTACAACACAAGAGAGAACAGAGAGGGAAGTGCTGTTATTCTTACTGAAATCAAAACCATTTTGTAGGTAGATCGGAGGGCCTTCACTTAATCAGCACTCAAAACATGAGAGGTACTCCATTACTATGGGACATTAACAGAAGACAAAGAGGACAGTCTGAAACCATAAATAACCATAGGTTTTTGTCTTACATCGCTGAACATTAAAGCTTCATCTCTAATACGGTGGATTGATCCATTTGGAGTGTGAAGAAAGCTAGCTAAGCAAAGAAAGAAAAAGGATTCATGCCAGCCTACTATGGCACTAAAATAGCTGCATAGGTAGAAATGGAAACAATTCAATAGTTCAGTGGGATTAAAGAAAGGTTCATTGGATAGAGTGAAAAGAAACAATAACAGCAATTCAAGCTCTCTCCCCCCCCGGAAGTATTGGGTTTGATTTAGTTTCAGGTCCATCACTAACTTACCACCAAACCTCAAACTAGCTTTTACCCTTCCTCTGGACTTTCACGTCATATGGAAGATAGCGGTGCTAGATCAAATGATCCCCAAGGGTTTCTCCTAGTCCTAAAATGCTGGGATTATATTTCACAAAGAACAAACTGCAAAATCTAAATAAACAATAGTAATAGTTAACCCCTACTGTTCAAGGCACTGTGGAAAGTATTTCACATACTACTTTATAACAACCTTATGAGATGGGTCATAAACCAAAGCTCAGAGAGATTAAGTAAAATTTCCAGTGTTTATCAGATATTAAATGTTACAACTCTTATTACACAAATCCGATTACAAACTCAGAACTCTGAACCACTAAACTCTTTTAACTTTCTTTAAACTCTTAAGGATTCATGAAAAAAAATCTTTACTAAAATAATTAGGAAAAAATTTCTTAACTATGAATTATCTAAAGAGAATTTCAATACAAAAAGAAGCAATATTTTAGAGTAGGAAGATCTTAGAAAACTGGCTTTTGCAAGGTCACATAGCTCAACATTGGTAGGGTAAGTAGAATTTGATAAATTTGATCAAAAATTTAATATTTTTGTTGAGATTGTAGGCAAGGATGAAAAACTTTTACTCTGTGCAGACATTTTAGTTAATATCTATATAATCTAAAGCTAGATTACATAAAAAATGGAATTGAAAGAGCAAAAGAATCAAAATCCAAATCTAATCAACTTTACAATTACACTTAATATTCTTTTTTTTTTTTTTTAGAATTTTATAGTTTTATTAACACAAATACAATGTGTACACAATCTGTCTATTCATTTTCTTCGCTGCGCAGTCTGGCATTGGGATTGGTGACTCTGATGGCCAGCTGGGCTGCTCTTTCCACAATGGCTTTGCGGTTCTTTGAGACGTTGTGAGCAATCTCAGCACAGTAAGATTTGTTGCACATCAGCAGCACTTCAAGCTCCTTGACACTGTGGACCAGAAACTTCCAAAAGCCACTGGGCAGCATGTGCTTTGTTTTCTTGTTGCTCCCATAACCAATGTTGGGCATCAAGATCTGGCCCTTGAATCTTCTGCGCACCCTATTGTCAATGCCTCTGGGTTTCCGCCAGTTACGCTTAATTTTGACATATCGGTTTGACTGGTGTCGGATGAACTTCTTGGTCCTCTTTTTGACAATCTTGGGTTTCACGAGGGGTCTGAGGGCAGCCATGGTGCCGGATAGGAGATGGCTGCCACCTCCGTAGGCAGCGCCGAGAAAAGCTACACTTAATATTCTGAATCATTCTTTAGCCACTAGGAATCTGGAAACCAATGTTATTATTATATTTTGCTTTGCTAAATGAGCTAGGAATTTAAATTTCTATCTGTCCTCAGAAGTTCAGGGTTTAAAATGTTAAACCTTGGATGCTGATACAAATGCAATCTACATTAGCCAGAGGAATCTGATGTAACAGGTAGTAACGGGTATTCTGAAGAGCCCATGTATAGGTTTTTAAGCCAGTGAGACTGAGTTTTAATCCTCTCTATGCCATATACTAGCTGTATGATCTTGGGTATATTATTAACTAATCTGAAGCTTAGTTACATCTGAAAATTGGTGAAAATGTCACCTGTCTCATGGAGGTTATTAGGATGAAATGAAGTCTATCTCAAATGTTCTCTTACAGTATCTACTACATATATTAAGTATCCAAAACGGTTTGTTAATGTTAAAGACCCAACTGAAAATTATTTTAAACATAAAATTTAAAAATCCAAATAATACCTAGGTTCTTGATTACACAAAAAATGAATAAAAAAGATCGAAGGTATACTGAAAGATCTTAAAGATAATGAACTTGTAGGGAGTAGAGTAGATGAGAAAGGAGGCAACTGATGGAGAAATTTAATTTTATTACTGAACAAAGTTTTACGAACAGGTAAATAGGTCTAAAATACGTCTAAAATGTGTCATGTTGCAGACAGGCAATAGTCCATAGGCTCAGTGTCTGTTAAGTTGAAATGTGCTTCAAAATAGGATAGGAACAACAGCAATTTCAGAAATACAACAGAAATAACAGAATAGAGTGGTTAGTCCTTCCTGCATGTCCTACAGTCACCCGGCAGGAAGTGTGAGTTAATGAGCACTGACTGGTACTCTGCACTCCAGGCAGGCTTAGTGCTACCAGCTCCACGAGGAAACCAGAAAGCAAGTAAACAACAGCTCCATGCTCACAGAGAAGAACATTAACAGTCCAAACTGAGTAAAAATAATTATTTGGGATTTTATTCTTTGTGGGCAGTAAGAATACTTAATTTACAACAAAACAAGAAGTACACACAAAAGTATTTTTAAAAAATGATTATTCTAAGTACTTTTTCAATGGCTGACAATCTGGGATGATTTTTATAAAAATATGGGCATTTATCTTTTTCCATTATGAAAAAATTAATTGCTCCCCATTTCTTCTTCTCAGAAAACAGAGCAGCATGCAGAAAGAACATTAAAATTCCAGTCAGGACAGTAATGTGCCACTAATTCACTGTATGGCTCTGGACAAGTCTCTTTTCCTTTCTAGGTTTCAGTTTCCCTTGTAATAAAGCAAACATCAGCTCTAAGGTTCTTTTCAGCACTCCTGTTGAGGAAAACTAGGGTGCTTCAAACAAGATGAAAAATGAGAAGCTCAACCTTTTCCCTATAAACAGGAAAGAAAATCCCCAATTTATAGGGGAAAATGGAACGCCCCATCTTAAGCATTCAGTGGTCCCTTATACACATATATGTAACTTTCCTCCCAACAGCAGGTCCCACCCTTCATTAACATGCAAACCCACACATCCTGTCGCTCCCACCCTTGACACCCGCATATACCTCAGCTATGGTCATTCTCAGAGCACTGACAGGGGAAAGCTCAATATCCACCAGTTGGGCGGCTTTTAAACTCTGCCCAGTAAAGATTGCACAAGGACAGAAAACAGCATAGTTAGAATTTTAAGGCAAATAGGGACACAGCTAAGAACATTTAGTGCAGTGTCAAAAAAGGACTTAGGGTTGCAGTTAGGACAAGTGAGATGAGTGTCATTATTATTCTGATTTTCTGAGGAAAATGGGCAAAGATAAAATAATCTCAAATTAGTCACAATTTTAAGTAAAGCTTGGCAAACCTGTCCATACTCTGTATCTTCTAATGCTCTGCTTCATCCCTCCCAGGCTTCAAAGAAGTCAAATTATAGAACAATGTCACAGAACCATTAAGCAAAAGCTGATTTATTTAAACACCGCACCCTACTATAAACGGCAATGGCTATAATCTAAAGAAAGATGCCTTTTCCCCTATATTTCTTTATATAGCCACTAATAGGGCAACTTAAATTTTAGTAAGAAAAGTAATGAAGATATCTCTAGCAATGATACCATTAAACTCTGATATCATAAATTCCCCTGGTTTTGATTCTAGGTTTACCAACAGAACTTACCAATGTAATCTGACTCCCGTCATGACCTGCCTACATTGAGATCATGTGCTAGAAATGCGGGCACATAGATATATGCTGGACAGGGGATTTCTCATCTTGTAGAAGTTATTATTATTATTTTTTGGTTATCAAATTAGCTTTTGTGGTTTGTTAAAAATTTAAAAATGGCATTTTTCATAAACTCAAGAATAAAAATGGATGATTAATGTTTGCTTTTTAAAAATTGGCAATTTGGAATCTGTGTTAATACTTTAACATTCTAAGAAATCTGAAAGACATTATAAAGGGCCTATACTTTTGTACAAAACCAATAAAATATTGCATATATTCATTATTCTATTTATTAATTATATCCTGGTCAAAATTTAACCACTGGTTTCTTTGAAAGGGTATATATGCAAGGAATTTCATGGATAGAAAGTATAATTTATATTTGAATGGAAGAAAACACCCCTTTATTGAATAGTTTTTCTTCTTAGTTCAGTATTCAGCAGTAACTCGTCTTATAATTTAACCCAATTTAGTTGAAAGTTGTTAGCATAAAGATCCTAGGTGTGTTAGTCACGTTTTACAAAGAAGAAATGTCATAGTTTCTCTGCATCCTCAGTTTGTTATAAAATTAATGACATACTCAGCTTTTTTCTGTCTGTCTATTTCAAGGATAACAGTTATTAGAGCATGAATACAGCTTAAAAACTAATGAAATGAAAACCTGGAATTCCCTTACAGTATCACTGTCACAAGGCTGGAACTGGAAGGGCTGGGGTTTGTGAAAAACAGCATTTTCTTGTAAAAACAGCTGAAGATTATAATCCCGTACCACCTACAGAGAAAAGAAAATACATTTAAGTATTTAATAAGGTTAAAATGACTAGTAATTACATTTTAAAGTTTAAGATTTATTCTGCTGGGCTTTCCAAAAACGAGAAATCATCCAACACTACACGGTCAGAAAGAAATGATAATTACACTTTTTTTTCATTTTAGATAACCGTAGTTACTCACATGTCCTATTTTCTCAAGAATCTAAATTTGGAAAGTACTACTTTAGAAACTCGTCCAGATATTGATACTAGACAATATACAATATTTTAAGACAACAAGAAGATAGCTATTATCCAAAAAGCTGTTCTTCTTAATGTGTGTGTGTTTTTGTGCGCATGTGAATAGGGGAGGACATTAGTCTCTTAAGCCTCTCCCAGTTCTAAAGTTTTCTGGGTCTTTTTTCTCAATATTATTTTGTATTGGTTTCAGATGTACAGCTTAGTGGTTAGACTTTACATAGTGTCCCCATCGATATTTCCAGTACTGGCCCCATACATAGTTATTGCAGTGTTACTGACTGTATTTCCTACGCCTTACTTACTTCCCTGACTACTTTACAACTACTGATTTGTGCTTCTTAGTCCCTTCATTTCCTTCACTCAGTTGTAGGTCTCTTACAGTCTGTTTTATGGAGATTGCCATCCATTGCTATGGGTAACCTCATCCACAGCACAAAATAGTGTTTTTACCGTACTTCTTGCCACCTTTTCTAAGAGGTTACAGTATAATTACCATTTTAAAGCACACCAAGGAGCCAGACTAGAAGGGAATTTATATAGAAGGGGAGTTCTGATACACAGGAAGTAGCAAAAGAAATAGCACAGAGAGATAGCAACCTGAAAAGAATTTATTGCATTATTTGCTCTGGGAAAGAACGGAAATCAGCAACATTTGGCTGTGCAGAAACCCGTTTTGCCACACCGCTTACTCTGCTCATCTCATTGGCAGTATATTACGGCTCATTAGTGCCTCTGCCAGAGGAAGACAAAATCAGCTTAAAGCAGCTCTGCAGCTATACCTTAGTAGTCCTGGGTCAAGGGTTCACTGAGGAGACATAGAAAGTGGAGGTGTATTTTTGCACTTTGTTTACCAGTAAAATCCCAGTTGTTTCTCTGTTGCTCCCCTGCCCCCCATTCAATAACCACTTATTGAGAGCTTACCAGGCCCGATGTTAAATGTGGGGGTGAGGGGGTGTATGTAAAAGAATAAAGATAAATAACCAAAGTTCGTATCTTCAAGGAATATAAAATCTGGAAACTAGGACACCCAAACAGGTTACACAATTAAAATACACTATGGAAGTATGTAGAGGGTACTAGGAGAAAACAAAAGATGATCGTTAATCCAGACTGAAGCGGTGGGGTGCAGTGAGGAGTGGTTGGGAGAATTTGGTCAGGGAAGGCTGGCTGAATAAACATATTCTCAAAGGGTAATGTGTTTTGTTCTTTTCCTGGATTCCAGTTTAAGCTAGAGTAGCTTAAGAGAAACTATACAAGCCAATTATTTAGTTACCTTGAGGTACAGTTTGTATAAGGCAGGATAAATGCTTAACTCTTTCCCTTTATTATCTAGTTCTCAAATTGAGTTTCTCCCCTAGCAACCTCCAATGAATGACCGATTAAGCTTTAATAAATTACAATTATAAAGTTTAAGATTTAAAAATATTCAATGGGCCCTAGCCAGTTTGGCTCAGTGGTTAGTGTCGGCCTGCGGACTGAAGAGGCCTGGGTTCGATTCCAGCCAAGGGCACATACCTCAGGGGCTCGATCCCCAGCCCTGGTTGGGGTGCATGTGGGAGGCAACCAACCAATGTGTCTCTCTCACATCGATGTTTCTTTCTCTCTCTCTCCTTTCCACTTTCTCTGAAAAGCAATGGAAAAAATATCCTCGAGTGAGGATAAAAAAAATAAAAATATTCGATGGCCTGGCCAGCGTGGCTCAGTAGTTGAGCATCGACCTAGGATCCAGGTGATCGGGGATCGATTCCTGGTCAGGGCACATGCCTGGGTTGTGGGCTCGATCCCCCAGTCGGGGGCGTGCAGGAGGCAGCCAGTCAGTGACTCTCTCATCATTGATGTTTCTCTTCTCTCTCTCTCTCTCTTCCTGTCTCTGAAATCAATAAAGACATTAAAATTTTTTTCAATGTGTTTTAATCCACTGCAGGTATCATAATTGAGGCTGCAACTATTCCATCTTTGGCTAGCAAGATCTCATCCTGTGTCCTCTTTATACAATTTAGTAGTTTTTGATAGTTTCCTTGCTTTCTATCCTGTTGTCCCAGCAACTTTTGATGAAAAGGCTAGTCTTTCTTCACCAAATGGCCTTGGCAACCTTGCCAAAAATCAACTGGCCATAAATGTTTTGGTTTATTTCTGGAATCTCAATTCAATTTCATTGGTCTATATATCTTTCCTTATGCCAGTACCACACTATCCTGATTACCATAACTGTGCAGTGAGTTTTGAAATTCTGGAAAAGAAAAAAAAGGCCATTGGAATTTTGACAGGGATTGCATTATTGAATCTGTAGACTGCTTTAGGGAATATTACAATATGAGTGATATAAAAATCTTCTAATCCATAAACATTTATTATTTCCACTTATTTTGGTCTTCTTTGAGTTCAGCAATATTTTGTAGTTTTCAGTGTTCAAGTCTTTCATGCTCTGCGTTAAATTTTTTTTAGGTATTTTATTTTCCAGATGTTACTATAGTTAGAATTGTTTTCTTAATTTTCTTTTGGTTCATTTATTAATGGAGAATAAAAACACAACTGATTTCTGTGTTTTGATCCTGTACTTGCTACTTTTGCTGAATTCTGTTTTTAGCTCTAATACTTTTTTGTGTGGATTCTACAAGATTTTCTATATAAATCATGTCACCTACAAACACAGATAATTTTCCTTCTTCCTTTTCAATCTGGATGCCTTCTATTTCTTCTTGCCTAAGTGCTCAAAGACCTCCAGAACAATGGTGAGTAGCAATAGTAAAAGTGGGCATCCCTTGTCTTGTTCCTGGTATTAGCGGGGAAAGCTTTCACCAATGAGTATGATATTAGCTGTAAGTTTTTCCTAAATGTCCTTTACATGTTAAGGAAGTTCCCTTCTATTCCTAACTTGCTGAGTGTTTTTATTATAAAAGAGTATTGCATTTTGTCAAATGCTTTTCCTGTGTCTTTTGAAATGATCGTGTAGTTTTCCCTCTTCCTTTGATTAGCTTTACTTTTTTGGTTAGTCTTCAAGGTATTAAGAATGGCAATACTAGACAATTTAATTTTCAAAGAAATATAGAATGACACTGTTACTTTCTGAATTGTTAAAAGAGCTACATTATCAATTGGTTTCCTGAAGGAGTTTCCTTAAGCAGACAGAAAGCGATCACACATAAACAAACTAGAAAGGCCAGCAGAACTATCTTTAGAGGTTACTATTCTAGAGAAAATATCTATGACAGCATCTGCTTCAGTTATATATACAAAGCATTTCATAAAATATTAAGGAGAAAAGCAAGCTTCATAAATAATTAAAATTAAACAAAAGCTCCTAGGGCTAGCTATTTCCCTTCAGGGGATGAAAGATAGAGAGTGCCATAACATTTATAGTATGTCACTATCAATAACCCCAAAATATCTTCTGAATATGTATAATTACAATTTAGATGTGTGGGAAAAATGGATTTTCTCTCCAAAAGACAAAGTAATAATGATGTAGAATAAAAACCTAAGGACTTTTAAAACTCTTCTTGGGTTATCACTGGGTGGCTTTCAGCAGTATAACAAGAGCAGCATAAATAGCTCTTCATAACAGAAAAGTACATGGAATAAAGCTTTGGTAGATGTGAGCTTTTCTGGTACTTGGAACAAAAGGGCATACCCCCTAGCTACATCATTCTTACGAAGTTTTTATTACTACTGCTCTCAATCTAAACAGAAGCGCATCTCATTCATTCCTTATCCCTGGGGAACAAGATACTCATATGAGTGAACGCAGAGGAAAATAAAAGCTTCTCTCTTTATGTGCCCAAATCAGTTTATACATTTTTAATTCACTTTCTATGTAAATAATATAAGCTAAAGAAAGGAAATAGTATAGTAGTAGAACATGGAAAATACTATGTGTGAGTGTGTGACCTCAGGCAAGCCATATAAACTCCCTGAGTCTGTTTTCCTCTTTATAAAATAAGCAAGATAATGCCAACTTCCACATAACTATCTATCTATCTATCTATCATCATCTATCCATCCATTCTTCTTTCTATATATCAGCCCTTTTATATCTTTTATTGGACCCTGGGGGTGGGGGAGAATATAGGAAAATAGAAATAGGACAGGATTTCAAAGCAAAAGACTAGCGATCTTTATAGTTCCACATCAACTTAACATTTTAAATGTTTTTCTTGAAATAGAATTGAAGCGATGGTACACGGAAAACAAGAATAAATATAAAAGGAAGCATTCAGGAAGAAGAGTCTGTGCTCCTTTTCTTCCTATCTTTGGACATTATCCCATGAGATAAATTCCGATTTTTTCCAAACAATTTCTTATGGTATGAGCCAGTTCCCACCCTCCTTGTCAAAAAATAGAATTGAACTGGCTCTTTTATTTTTATTTAAATTAAAAAAAATTATTGATTTGAGAGAGAGGAAGGGAGAGAAACTCTGATCTGTTGTTCTACCAATTTATGCATTAATTGGTCGATTCTTTTTAAAAAAAAAGATATATCTTTATTGATTTCAGAGAGAGGAAAAGAGAGGGAGAGAGAGATAGAAACATCAATGATGAGAAAGTCATTGATTGGTTGCCTAGCCCGCAACCCGGGCATGTGCCCTGACCGGGAATCGAACCCCAATCGCCTAGATCCTAGGTCGATGCTCAACCGCTGAGCCACGTCCGGCCAGGCAATTGGTCGATTCTTGTATGTGCCCTGACCAGAGACCCAAATGGATATGGCTATCAGGTGATGCTCTAACCAATGGAGCAACCCAGTCATGGCTGAACTGTTTCTTTTAAAACAACAGTTATAAAATGAATATATTTTGACAAATGCATGCACTCAGTTAGGAAACATTGACTATGTACTACTTAATTTATCAGAAAGAAACAAGTACTAGTCACAGGAACAATTTATCTTCCAAAGGACAGTTTCTCTACTGCAAGAAATTTTAATCTGTACATAATGTGACATGTCAGCTAAGTTAGTGAATCTCAATACTTTTGAAGGAAAAGATTATTATCAAAGAATGACAGTGCCCTGAATGGAGTGGCTCAGTTGGCTGGAGCTTGTCCTGTACACCCAGGGGTGGCAGGTTCGATTCCTGGGCAGGGCACACATACCCAGGTTCAATCCCCAGTTGAGGTGTGTGTGGAAGGTGGCCAATCGATGTTTCTCTCTCTACAAATTTTATATATTTTTAAAATGATTTGAGAAAGAGAGAGAGAGAGAGAGAGAGAAACATGGATGTGAGAGAGAAACATCGATCGGCTGCCTCTCGAACGTGCCGCAACCAAGGATTGAACCCGAAACCGGGGTATATTCCCTGACTGAAAATTGAATCCTCCAACTTCCAGTGTACCAGATAAGGCTCTAGCCAACTTAGCCACACTGGCCAGGGCTTGCTGTTTTTGCCTCCCATCAAAGTCTGTCTGTCTGTCTCTCTCTTTTCCTCTCTAAAAATCACTAAAATAAAATAAAAATTTAAAAAAGAATGACAGCATTTAGAGGTAAGGTCTTGTTTTTTTAAAAAATAGGATATTATAGTATTCATTCCTTTATTGATTATAAAATGCTATTTCCCCCTTAGTGTCCTTTTATTATTCTTTGCACTGACACATGACCTTGTTTCCCCATATGAATGTGTTGAATGCATTCAAAATTTGAGTGGAAGATAAAACTCTTTAAACCATTCTCCTCAAAAGCAAAGTACATGGCAATAGACTGATGTTTTGAGCCAGACCGGATCATCTCTACCCCTTTCCACCTTTGTGTCAACTCTTCAAAGAGAACTCGATACCCTCCAACTTTGTTAGAAGCAATACTGTTTCCAGGAAATCTGTCTTTAAAGCATTCTTCTAATATCATTGGTCTCTTCATTTAGTTTGTATTTAAAAATCTTTTCGATTTTAAAATGGACATCACATACTGCACTAAAGGTAAGTTACCTTGCCGGAGGTTTCTAATAAAAACTGGAATGTGTTCTGCACAGCTTGACATGCTTCTAGCTCAGTCCGGCTGAAAGCTATTAAATAATCCTTCAGATGATCATACACATTTCCATCAAGAGCCTGTAAAAGATGAAAAAGCAAAACCAAAAAATTATGATAAAGCTTTGACACATAACGCCTCCTGTCTACAAGGTAAGTTCAGTTTAAAAACCTATTAACAGTAAATTAACAAAAGATACAGATTATTATGTAAGAGTAAATATAAACAGTAAATAATCATTTGGGAAAATGTTGAATCTCTCTAATAAGTAGAAACTAAGAAAGGCAAAATCTAATATTGGTAAAGCTGTGGAAAGACAAAACTTGGAGACAAAATGCTTGGGTTCTGACCTTTGCTTCTCTGCTATTGGCTGTGTCAATTCTGTTGTCACTTTAGTGGAATAGGTGTGGAAGCTAAATGAAATAATGGGTACGAAAGCCTCTAGGCACAGTGCCTGGAATAGACACTCAATAAACATTAATCTCCTCCATTTTCCCTCGTCCATTATTGGTAGGATTATAAATTAGCATATTCTTACTACAGAGCAGTCAGAGAAAAAACGTAATTGAAATAGTAAAAAAAAAAAGGAAAAGTGGCTCAATTTCAGTTTTGGGAAAGAAATATCAGTGTAATGTCTATGAAGAGTTTTAAACACTTTTATTTGTTTAAGCATAGAACAGGACTCTTTAAAACTGAAGAGAAAAAAAAGGAGAGAAAACCACCAAATATGTGAGAAATGATTAAGCTATGATGTATATAATGACTAAAATATATACAGCCAGCAAAATAAAAACTGTGGAAACTGTATAGATGGAAAAGTATGTATCAAATAACTTTAGGTAAAAAAAAAAAAAAGGAACAAATAGAATACATACATACTAGCAACAACTACAGAAAAATATATCAATAATCAAAAAAGGTTCTAGAGTCTTGCCAATCAATGAAAGTTTTCTTAAAAACTGAGGTAAAATCCACATACCACAAAAGTCACCATTTAAACTATTTTAAATAACTAAATTCAGTGGATTTTAGTGCATTCACAATATTGTCCAACCACCACTACTATCTAACTTCGAGACATCTGCATCACCCTAAAAGAAATCCCATACCCATTAAGTGGTCACCCCCATTCTCTCTTCCCCCCTTTCCCCTAACCTCTGGCAACCACTAATCTACTTTCTATCTGTACAGATTTGACTATTCTGGACATTTCATATAAATGGAATCATATAATATGTGGCCTTTTATGCCTGCCTCTGTGACTTAGCATAATGTTTTCAAGGTTCATCAATGTATTAGTAACTCTTTTTATGGCTGAGTAATATTCCACTGTCTGGAGACACCGTATTTTATTTATTCATTCACTAGTGGGTGGACATTTGGGTTGTTTCCACTTTGGGCTATCATAGATAATGCTGATATGATAATTTGTGTACATGTTTTTGTTTGGACACCTGTTTCCAATTTTTTCTGCGTATATAGTAGCGAAATTGCTGGGTCCTATGGTAATTCTACGTCAGGAATTGCCGAACTGTTTTCTACCATGGCCGTTGGCACTTTACATCCTCACTAGCAATGTATGAAAGTTCCAATTTCTCCACATCCTCATTAACACTTGTTATTTTGTTTTTAAAAATTACTCACACCATCCTAGTGGTGTCTCACTATGGTTTTAACCCATATTTCACTAATAACTAATAACATTGACCATTTTTTCATGTGTTTCTTTGCCATTGGTATATCATCTTTAGAAAAACGTCTATTCAAGTCCTTTTCTCTTTTGTTAATTGAGTTGTTTGGTCTTTTTGTTGATGAATTGTAAGAGTTCTTTATATATTTGAATGCTATTTGTACATTTGGATACATGTATCTTATCAGGCACATGATTTTCTAATATATTCTCCCATCTGGTGAGCCATCGTTTCACTTTCTCAACAGTGTATTTAATACGCAAAGGTTTTTTATTTTGATGACGTCTAACTTAGCCATTATCAATTTTGTTACTTGTGTCTTGGTGTCACAATGGAGGTTTTATAGTAAAGAAATTCTTTATCATCGTGTCTGGTTATTCCATTAAACTTTTATTATAAAGCTGATTTTTAAAAAATATACAAATTCTGTCCCCAGAGCCTTGAGTTAAAGCCGCACGCGTGTTCTATGGTGCTTACACCACTAGATGGCACCATCATGCACTTTAAATATCGGCAGCGCGAATTCCTTAAGATTCCTTTCAGCGTAGTTATGTAATAGCCCCAGAGAGACTCCTGGTATTAAGTCTGAATAAAAATTCTTGCCTTAGGACATGCCTTTCATGAATTTGCTAAAAAAGGAACGTATAACTTCTTCTGGTATGAAGTTTTTGCCTTAGAAATGCTCATGGGAGATGGTCATAAACTTGTGTTTGCGGGAAATCACTGGAGTATTTTATTTAAAGTCAGCAAATGGCAATATATGGCATTATGAACTCCCAGCCCTAGAGTTTCTGATTTAGTAGGTGGGGGTGTCACCTGATAATCTGTATTTTCTAACAACTTGCTGCTGGTCTTGAGACCATAATTTGAGAGCCACTGGACTACACAGTCATTTTAGCTGATTAAGTTGAGAGTTTGTATAGACCTAGATCCTTGTGACCATGCAGAAGCAAAGAGGCTGGAGGCAGAGAAATCTACTATTCTGAGCAGGTAGGCAGATCAGCCGCTATTTTCAACATGCTCTACTTCAGAATTATAGAGGAAGCATGACGCAGAAAGCGAAAGAACTTGAGTTCTGAAGTAAGTTGGATGTGGGTTAGAATCCTAGAACTTCCACTTATTTCACCATTTCACTCGTTTTATCACAGGATATTGTGAAGACTAATAAGGTAGTGAAAGTGGCACAATGTTCATCTCCCTTTCTGCCTTGCTTAAAAATCTGTACTGGACTGGCCACATATTGGTAATTGTTAAAGCTGGGTAATGAGATCATGGGAGTCATTATACAACTCTTTTTACTACAGTGTATGTTGAAAATTTTCCATAAAAAAGTAAAAAGAAAATCTGAACACCAGAGTAGGAAAAAAAAAAAAAAAGTGACACTACCAATTTTCCCCCCCCAACAGCTCCCACTGAACATTTGGAAAAGTCAAAATTCTTTATTTGGTATCTAAGGTCCTTTAAAATCTAGTCCCAAATTACCACATTAGCACCATCTCTCACCACTGTTGTCTGCACTGTACTCTACATACCAGTCACACTGAGCCATTTGGGACAATGACATTCACTTTCATGTTTCCAGTTAAGTTACTCTTGACCTAGAATGTCTTTCTGCCTCTTCTCTCCCACTCAAGCAGTAATAATGAAGGCTAACACAGGCAACTGACATTTACTAAAGGCTTACCATGTTCCAAATGCTTTGCAGAACTGACCCAGCCAGTTCCTCCTAGTGATTCAACCTTCTGTATAATGAATGTGTAGTATTGCAAGTTATGGATTGAATCTTACTCAGGCGCAGTGCCTGGCAGATAGCAGATACTCAAAAATATTTATAGAATAAATGAATGCTTTATGCTAGAGCTTAATATAGCAACAAATATGCCATGAATTAGTTACCTCACAGGCAAGCTACATCTAACACATTTCAGTTAAGAGAAAAGGTACCATTAGTCACCATGTACCAGTAAAGGCTTCTCTTGGCTTCAGCAACCCAAGTAAGGCTTAATGAAACTTCATTAGGTGGGAGGTGGGGAAGACTCTTCAACAGTCAGATTAATCTTAAAATGTTCCTTTTATCCTATTCAGCACACTGAATTCCCTGAATTTTAATGATCACATTTGCAGGGTTGCAGGATGCATTAACCTGAACATGTGACAATTTTTCTGGTGGGTAAGAATAAGATAGCTAAAGGCCTTCTGGTCTATGTAGATTATTGCTAGTGTGCACAGCACACTAGTTAAAGCAGGAGGTATGAAAACAAGAACCTGCTGGATGAAAGCGCAGGAAGTACATGATTACCCTATGATTGGCTCCAGCCCCCTGCCTCAAGTGAAATGCAATTGTTTGAACCAGTTGTGGTGCCTAGAGATGAAGTTCAAAGCAATTCTGGGTAGTATTATCTCAACATGGTTTGTTGATTAGAAGGCAGGTTGCATAAATATTTATATGAACTTTGACTAAAAAGCCAATAATTAGAAAAGAAGTCCCCTAAAATAGAATGAAATACTGGGAATCAAAGAAGACAGCTTGAAAATGCTTTTTACAAACTCCTCCACCATATTATCACAGAGTATTTATCACTGTCTATCACAGTACTTAGTACCTGTGTCATCTGGATTACCACAGAGATCTGTTGTCCCTCCTGCTGACCCATTTCTATACTGCAGCTAGGAGGACGTTTCTAAATTGCATATTGAAACCATTTATATATGTCTGATTTCCCCAACAGGCTATTAGTTCCTTGAGAGTAGGGAGCACTCGCTTCTTCCCTTTATCCCTAACCTTATCAGAGAAACCTGCAATAAATGATCTGAACTGAACTGAACTGAGAAGAATGGAAACTACAAAAACAGGCCCCCAACTGTACAAGAGGGGAGCACTGAAGGGAATTAGAAAATTCATTTTATCTTAATTGGGTCAGCTTTACTCTGGTGAAAAAATATGTAATTATTCAGACTGACTTAGATTTTGACTAGACACTATTTCCCTCCTCTGACTTTCTCACCTACATATTAAACTTCCTCTTAGACTGAACCACTCTCTTCTCCACCTGCTTTTTGTATGTGCTCCTAGCTCAGTGTGCAATGCCACTGTCCACTCACCTGCCTATGTCAGACCCTAGGAACTAAAGGTTTACTTTCCCCTCTGCCTTTCCCCTGACATCACCCAGTTAATTACTAAATCCTGATTCTATTTCTTAAATACTGATCAAACCCAACCCTTCCTCCTAATCTCCACAGTGACTACCTTCCTGCCATCCTGTCTCATCTGGATTGTTACAGCCAGGTCCTGTTCCCTGTATCCAGCTCTCCCTCTTGCCAACCATTTCTATATCGTGGCTAGAAGATGCTTCTGAAGTGCGTATTTTACTTGACTGCTCAACAATGTT